AGCATTGAAAACTTGGCTCTTCCATCAGGCTTTCACTGAACATTAAGTTGCTGACATCTCTGCTTCCCTTTTATCATCCTTTTTGCCATCCTTTTATCATCCTTTCTACCATCTTTATAGCTATCTGTTTTAATTTATCCTACTAGTTATTGTATCTGTTTAATGTTTGTATTATTTTATTCTTATCGTTTTTTATTCTTATTGTGTTTTAATATGGTGTTGTTTGTCTTGTTGTTAGCCACCCAGAGTGTCCTGGCTGCCAGATGGTGCGGGGTATAAATCTAATAAATAAAATAAATAAATAATGTTTATGATCATTCTGGAATTAACCCTTAATTGGGATGAAATGCCAGTTAGGATGAACACAGGCTTCTGATTTTTCCCTAAAGGCCTATAGAGTTCTGTAGATTTCTTAGCGGTATATTCAGGCATGAGAACCACTGACCTGATACTACTTTCCTTATCCCCCCAAATTATATTGTCTGCCTAGTCAAGAGTTATGGAAAACTGAAAAGCCTGCTTTGTTTGTAGTCAGAACTTTGTTTCTTCATGGAGATTACATGGATACATTTTCTATTTCTTGTTGCAAATAGTGTACCATGCAACAGTTTCCAAAGGTGCAAGCATTAGGTTATATTGTCACAAGGACAGAGTACACACAGTCTTAAAGATTAACAAATGTATCAGCATACAAAAGTTCTGGCTAGAAAATCAGTATGCTACCCTATTTCCTAGAAAATAAATCCTAACCTGAAAACAAGCCCCAGTATGATTTTTCAGGATGCTTGTAATATAAGCCCTACCGCCAAAATGAGCCCCTCATTAAGTGAAACCCTGCCCTCTACCATTGCACAGCATTGTGCAGCAACTAGAAGATGATGACATGACTGTACTTGAATAGATGCAGACTGTTGTACATTAAAAAATCCCCTGAAAATAAGACTTAATGCATTTTTGGAGCAAAAATTAATATAAGATCCTGTCATATTTTCAGGGAAACACAGTAGTTTTGAAGGTGCCACAAGAAACATACATAATGAGATGGAGACATTCTTAAAAAGCAAGCTTGGTGTACAACATAAAATGTATGAAGCACTTTAGACCCAACATCCTTAGGGCTAAAGTACATGCCACCTTAAATATATAGTGTTTAGATGGTGTTTTATTATTCTACAGTAAGCATACACAAGCCCAAGCCCAACAAGGACCACCATATCTGTCTAGAAAAGGTTTAAGCTTTCTCCATCCCCACAGCTCTTTGTGCACCTTAAATCCTACCCCTTCATAGGAGACATCCAGATGAACATCAGAGTAGGTTCTGTAAGAGCCTATTCACATCTGAAGGTGAAAGACTGATAGGCTTTAGCAGCACAAAAGTAAATAGATAAAAAAAATATTGAGTGATAACAAGACTAAGAAGCGAATTCATTTAGTGTTAAACTATACAAAGTCAAAAACTAACTTGTTCACTTGACAAACAATTATTTTTAGAAGGAATTTAATTCTGTTTTGATGTTGCTATTTCAACTGCAATCACAGCATTCTGAAACTCTTGCATCAGAGTTCAGAAAAGATTAGAGATAGCTTATTAAATGCATGAAACAAGCATTAAGTCAGAACAGGATAAATAAATGAGATACAGCTTGATCCAACCCATGGTTAGTCACAGGTACCAATGTGATATATTATGATACAATACAACTAAGGAAATCTTGAACCTTACTAGGTGACTTTGGGGCAATCACCATCTCTCAGTTCTAGCTGCTCTATTTGATTGATGGGGGGACAATACAGGGAGGTGTAAAGAGTCATATACATTGCCCTCAGCAACTTGGAAGGAAATGATAGCATTTTAGTATAATATTAATATAAAATACAAAATAAGGCTGTTCAGAATTGTAGCCTGATGTGCCCAATTTTGCAGTGTAATTAAACTTTGTTTTTAAGATCCTACCCACTTCTTAGTATTTATTGTTATAGCCCCAAACCTCAGCAACCTTTTCTACAGATCATTTTAAAATTAAACAGAATTACTTCATGAATGGCTGATGCACTGTTCTCCTTATTTCTACTGGTGTTAGAACAGCATGGCCCACACTGTAAATGTGTAAATGTATTTTTAAAGGGCAGTTGAAGAGGATTTACAGGGAATGAAAAATGCATATTTATTTGACCTATATCTTTCTCTTTCCCCAGGATTGGGGCACGAAATACTTCAAGATGTTCATGGCCCTTCTAATAAATACTTCTAGAGCTGGCTGGGAAAAATACAATCTAGATCACAACTCTGTAGAGTCCTCACCATTTCTGTGCTGGCTAGAGCTGATGGTAATTACAGTCCAACAGCACCCAAAAGGCTACATTTTGCCCACCCCATTCTAGAAGATACAGGAATTTATTTAGGGCATTTTCTCCTCTATTAATTCTCTGAAGAAAAATCTCCTTCATCTCAAGTATCTACAATACTCATTTGGCACATGTTTAAAATACTTGGTCATTGTGGGTGCTTATAGGACAAGTGTAACTGTCCCTCAGTCCCATATTCAGTTTTAGCTTCTACATCTGTAAGTTTCCATGAACTTACTGGAGTACATACAGGCTGCATTTTCCACTTGATTTTTGGATTTTCTTATTATGCCAGCAAATATAGAAAACAAAACAAAAGTCCACAGACAGGAAATGTTGAATATGCATCCCAGTCCCCAAGAAAGATACCAAGGTGTGTTGCAACAATACGAACATTACATCATTCACATTCAAGCAAAGTAATGATCAAACTGTTACAACAAAGATTTTTGTCATAAGAACATAAGAACAGCCCTGCTGCATCAGGTTAAGGGCCCATCTAGTCCAGCTTCCTGTATCTCACAGTGACCCACCAATATTGTGCCTGTACTGCCAGCAGGAAAAAGGATGCCAAGCTTTACATAGCAAAGGGCAGCCTGAATGTTGACACCACCAATGGCAGCAGTCAAGATGGTTTACGGAATACCCTCGTGCTCACTATTTTTCTCAAAGTGACACCAAGCAAAATCTCAGAAACTGACACTTTTTTCCCCATCAGTCACCCACTTCTCACTTAACACAAAGCAACTGTCACTGTTGGGTTTTTTGACAAGTATGAATGGTTTTCATTAGCTGAATTTAGCTGATTTTCCCTTAGAAGCCTGTGCCGGGAGACTGGTCTCAGAAATCTTGATAGAATGTTTGCTGAAAGCACTTGGGGATGGGGCAAAAAAGCTGCTCTGTGCTTTTTGTAATGCAGAAATACTTTGAATACTTTAAAACCCATCTGTCAGAGGTGGTGACCCTGACCAGTGCAGGAGTAAATGAATCTATGGAACAGTGGGAAGAGATTGAAAATGAAGACACTCTGGACAGTGGAAATAATTACTTTCTGAATACCAAAGGCTAAGGCATGGAGGTTAAAGAACACCCAACCTCCTTGAAAACCCTCTTACTGGGGAGAATGGGAAAGGAACCACCAGGCACAAGAATAGTTCTCAACTGGTGAATTGTAAAAGCAAGTGGTAACCTGTCCCAAGGTATGGGAATGAGACTTAGTTCAATAAACAGTTATTTTGCAAGAAAATGACACGTGAATTGGTAGTGAATATGAGTGACAGAGACCTAGGGGAAATGGCCATTGATGAGGGGAACCACAACACTTATTTGACCTATAGATAACAGCTATATATGGATATTTTTTTAAATATCTGGAAGCATTTTATATAAGTCTATGTATTATCCCTTTACCTTCCTGCTTTTATTGTTTTGTTTCTTTCTCTAGCCTCTCTTTTCTTTGCCCATTCTTTTATATGCTGAGTAATATTATTATGCATCGTGTTTTATTGTATCACTGTGTCAGTTGTTTTGTTCATTTTTATTTATTTAAAAAATAATGAAGACCCCCACCCCCCAAAAAGGAAGTGATGTTCCTCAACACTTGATTGTCCTGATGTGTAACCTATTTTGTGGACAAGAAGCTACTGTAAAGGCAGAATATGGGGAAAATAGACTGGCTTCCAACAGGCAAAGGGGTCAAACAAGGGTGCAGAAATACCTTATGGAAAACTGACTAAATTCCACCTAGGCCATGATCCTCTAGAGTATTGTATTTGTAATAATTGGATACAGACACCAATGCTGGACAGTGAAGATAGCCTAAAGGAACAGAGAGAGAGAAATGAAATATGGGATTGGATGAGTGTTTTGTGGATACCATGGGTCCTAGATCAAATCAAGCCTGAACTCTTTCTAGAAGCAGAAACACAAAACGAAGGCTGTCATACTTAAGACACATAAGGAGAAGAGAAAACTCATTGGAAAAAGGCAATAACACTAGGAAAAGTAGAAATGAACCACCACAGAGAGAACCCAAGAGGCATTTTGACATACAGTATATTTACTCAGACAATATTTACTCAGTGACAACAATGCTGGAAAGAAATGAAAGCATAAGAAAAGAGAAAGATTGAACATGAGATTTGTTGAGTTGGCAAAGGAAGTCGAGGCTTTCACCCTGCAAGACGAACAGGACTGCAAAAGATGGGACCTTTCGGAAGTAACTAATTCATAGGATCGCCATAAGAGATCTGACTGCACATAGCAACACTACTATTATTTGGGATGAGACTCTTCGCTTTCAACAATTTTACTTCCACATATGCATGCTTTGGATTGTAGGACTTAATTCAGTACAGTATATGAAAGCACAAGTACTGTACATAGATAAGGCAGTGGGGATCAACGGTGGAGAGGGGGAGGGGTTCAAGGCGCGGGGATTTCGACGCACAGCAGGCAAGGGAACTATCCGGGTTGCCAGTACAGGAATACAACTCTCTTCAGCTGGAGCTATTAATTACCTCTGATTTAACCCAAGGCGCCACCCAACGGCGTGCCAGGAGCTGTTAAGGCGTTAAAATAACGCCGGCCAGCCAACGGGCGGCATTTCAGTCTCCTGGTCTTTATTGCGGGGTCGGGTCTTTCCGGGACACGAGGTCGTTCCCGGTCCGGGTCAGGCTCCCTTTCCAGCTTTCCTTTCCCTTGTTCTAGTTGCCTCTCCGGAGCACCCGGGACCCTCCCCACGAACCCCGCCTCCAGCACCGGACGGACGACTACCTGCTGCTGCTGCAGCCGCCGCCCCTCAGCTGCGGAGGCGGGCCAAGGAGCGGCGCATCCCCCATAGATGCAAAGGAAGTCCCCGTCCAGGCTCATTTTCACACATACACACACACCCGGCCTCATTTCTCCCGCCCACCTCGCAATAAACGTGTGGAAACTGAGCTGGCGGCGGCACGGACACCGTCTCGACCTTTCCGCTGGCAAGGCACCTGCTATAAAGCAGGCAGACCCAGAGAGAATACAGCCACGCCTGGCCAGGGGCAGGACCGAGCCCCGACGACTGCCGCCGCCTCAGCTAGGACTCCTAAAGGGGTTCTTCTCCCCGGGGCACACACACACCCCCCTGGATAGACAAAGGAAGGAAAGCCCCCTTGACGCTGTGCAATTGCAATGCCGGCCAGCAGACCCGCTTCCCCCGCGCGGGACTCACCGCTCGCGCGCTCTTCTTTCCCTCTCCAGCGTTTCAGAAAACCTCCTTTAAAGCCGGCGCCGGCTCGTCTGCGCTCGACTCGTTCGCCCTCTCGCTGCTCGAACTCGGCGTTCGATTAGTTTGGGTTCGCCCCCGTCTTCCCGATCAGGTGTTAACGCAGGCGCGGAGGTAGCGTAGGGCGGGGAAAAGAGAGAGAGAAAGCTTAGACAGGAGGGGGCGTGGCTAAGAGCGAATTGCGACCCGGAAGCGCGTGTACCGCCGGGCATATTGGGGTGTGTGTGTTTGGTTTGGGGGGGGGGAGTGTTGTCGGAAGTATAGGAACGGGGAGCCTCCCTCCTCCCGACTTTCTCTTTGGGTAGCAACCATGTCTGGATCCGCGCAAGGGCCGGTGGAGAGGCTGCGACACCTGTGCTATCGCTATCAAGACTACGTGAAACGGCACCCGGCAGCCACTACCCAGCTGGAGAGTACCGTGCGCGCCCTCTCCTACCTGTTGCCAGGTAGGGTATTGAGAGATCGGGGCCAGAAGCGTAGGAGAAGGTTGGTGCAGGGAGTCCGAGCAACCCCCCCCTTCCCACCACTCATGATCTGCTAGGGGCAAGGTTACTCTGCTTGTTTATTCCTCAGTTTCCCTTTCCTTCCGGGATTCATGTACGAAATACTTGAATAATTACGTAGGAAGTCCCTCGGGTAAGGCTTCTTCTGTCATGAATTGGTGCATGCTCAAGGATGGCAGTCCTGAAAGGCAGAGGTAAAATGGCTGTTGCCTCCCTTCCTCGAATTCTTTAGGTCTGGCTCCAAATCAGAGTCATGGTTTTGGAGGCGCTCTGTTTCTAGTCCTTGTTGGACTAGCCTGTTACTGGACTCGATTTTCAAAAGACGCTGTGCTTCAGTTAAACCCTTCCCCATTTCTTTCTCTCTCTCTCTCTTTCTCTTTACTGCAGCCCACATAATAATCTGGGTATGAAATGCCTGCACCATCATCACATCCTTGCATTGCCAAAGCTGCAGATCTCTATCGCAGGAGTGATGACATCTTGTTTAGAAAGTGCTCCAATTACAACCAGCACTGCAAGACAACTCTGAGCTCCCACTCTGGAATGCAAGCTTTGATTGGAGCCTTTAGTAGTCATAGGACAGATTGCTTTCCAATTTTTAAGAACTTGAGGACAGCCCTAATTCGTCAGATCAAAAATCTGACTAATCCAGTATATGGTTGCCTTTGGATCCCAGCCAGCTTTGTCCTGGGACTCTCATGTGTCAGGTTGTGAAGTCAAGTGCCTCTTTGTGTGATACCAGCAAATAGTGTTCAGAGATAGCCTGCTTCTAAACATGGGCCTTTTATAAATCACCTAATCTTTTATAACAAGTTGCTAAAACCAGATGTACAGCAAACCACCTTAAAATATTTGGAGCAGTAAATAAAATTGATCAAGGCCAGTCTCAACAAAAGATATTTATGGCTCAGCTAAAACTTGGAAAATATGGGATCAGTCCTTTGGAAGGGATTTTCCCAGTGCTGCTACAGAAAAGGTCTTGTCCAGGATCCCACTGCCTTTCTTAGCAAAGGAAATGGAACAGCCATGTGAAAACAATTGTAAAATGTATGGTGGAAGGCAGTCTTTCAAGTATTTTAGCCCCAGATAGTTGTTGTTATGTTTTTATGTCAAGTTGCCTCCCACTTATATCAACTCCGTGAATGAGCTGTCTCCAAAATGTCCTGTCCTCAGTTGCTTCGCTGAGCTCTTTTAAACTCAGGCCTGTGCCAAAATGTCCTGTCCTCAACTGCTTTGCTGAGCTCTTTTAAACTCAAGCCTGTGGGTACCTTTAGGGAATCAGTCCATCTCATAGTTGGTCTTCCTCTTTTCCTCCTGCCTTTCCTCTTTCCCAGAATTATTGCCTTTTCCAGAGAACCCTGCCTCCTCATGATGTGCCCAAAATAGGACAGACTCAGTTTCAACATGTGTGCCTCCAGAGACAGGGTAGCTGTACACCTGCGTGCCCAAAATAGAACAGACTCAGTTTCAACATGTGTGCCTCTAGAGACAGGGTAGCTGTACACCTGGTGAAGAAAATATAAGAAAGCAGACCAAATTGATTTAACCATGATACATCAGTAAAAATCAATGCTTTAAACCAGTTGTGACTATGTAATTGAAATCAAGATTTCACACAATCTCTGTTGTCTCTCAAACATATGGGAATGCTGGGGTTATGTTCCTGAAAACCCTTTCCTGTGGCAGGGAAAATCAGCTTGTAGAATAGTTATTCCTATAAGGAATGCTTCCCTATAGGGAATGTGAATCTGAATCACTTTTAGCTGGGAGGATGCAGCACTCATGGGAGGGTGTTGGATGCTGTAGGAAATTTTAATGTCAAACCTTGTTAAGCATTACTTTGACAGACCTGTAATTGTGTAAAATGGCTTTGAAAGGAACTTCCCTCAGGAAAACATATTTGGACTTCTTTCAAGAGAGTGTGGAATAATTGTTGATGTCTCATCTACACTTACTTTTCAGGTCGGTTCTCTGACTCTCATGAGCTGTCTGAGCTTGGTAAGTACTGTTAGAGAATTGTTAAGAGGGCCCCAGAACTACTTTATGTATTCGCTGTTGGGAGAATAAGAAGGAATTTTTCCAGAGAAGGCAAAATCATCAGTGTTATCCATTATCAAGCAGTGGGCTCCTAGTCCTTGCTCACCTGCGGAGCTCCCTGAATGAACCAGCCTTCTGTCAGACTAATATAGGTGTGGGAGGAGATACTGGTTATTGTCTAAATAAGCGGTTGTTGTAAAAAACAATTAAAACCTAACCCAGTATAGCAGAGCTTGTAGCAAGCCTACATTGTTGCTAAAAAGGCAGTTAAGCATTAGCTTATAAGAGTAGAATCTGGGTTTTCTTTGCAAGATAGTGCTGCTTGTGCACTTGTGGATGCGAACCTTCCCCCAGTGGATGTTTCTATTGTCCTTCAATTTCTCCTGGTCAGATGGTGTGCTTCACTGTTGGTCATTCAGCATTCTTAATCTAAGCTTTAAATTCCCCTTGATTTGGATTTTCTGAAAGAGATTTCTTGTTTTCCCTCTCTTGTTCTCTTTTATTTGTTTGCACTATTTGTTCTCTATTTTGTTCTCTATTATTTGTTTGCACTATTTTTTGCAATAGTTCTCTTTTCCTCTTTGTGACAGTTACTGAAAAACTGCATTCAGAGTTAAGACCCTATTTCTGTCACCTTTTACTTTCACCTGTCCTTTACAATTTTAAGTGTTTCATTCCATCATCCAAGCGTTTATCACCTGTCCTTTACAATTTTAAGTATTTCATTCCATCATCCAAGCGTTTTTTTTCTTTTTACTACAGAAATTATATTTTTTGTGTTCTTCTCTAATACTAGCTCTGGTTTCAGTCCATGGCTTTTCCGGTGCATGGTCAATTGAGTTTTGTAATGTAAGTCTGTTCCTTATGTGGACTTTAAGTTCATCAGGATTCACCAAATTCATTCATTATTCTAGCATTACTAAGTAAATATCCAGGTATCTTTAGAAGAGTGGCTAGTGTCACTCCATGGGGGTGGTACTAGGATTTGGCATATCTCTCTGCCTTCTTAAAAATAAAAGTCAATCCTTGATCTTTTTTGTTTCTGCTAATTTTGAGCAACCTCCACTTTTACTTTAAGGGACTAAATTTTGGAGGCAGCAGTATGGCTGAGGACAATAAACACGAATGTACCTGTTTTGAAACACAGACTTTGATGATAAAATTGAAGGTACCAACTCATGCCAATGATGAGACTGAAGCAGATGGACTTTTTTGTTCCACTGCATTGCATTATGGAGGAATGTCAAGGCTATGATCTACCTGTCCACAACTGAAGTAGTGCATAATTGGAAAGATCTGCAGAGAGATAACGGTGAAGACTCATTTAGTCTGTCCTTTGAAAAAGACCACTGTAAAAGCAGTGTCTTTTTTCTTTTTCATCTCAAATTGCGCATTTCCCCCTCTTTCCTAGTGTATTCTGCCTCCAATTTGCTGGTGCTGCTAAATGACTGGATCCTTCGGAGAGAATTGCAGCAGTCCCTTCCAGTGGTAAGAATCTTCTTCCTTGCAAAAGGTGGAGGCTGTGCCTAGTCTTTGTCTCTTATATTGAAATGTTAATACCTTTCTCTTGCATCCCATCTTTTTGACAGGTAAGCTCTGAAGCTGCTGTTTTCTTGAATCTTGAGTGACTGCTGGTCATCCTCTGCTTACAAACTGTAGTGTGGGGAGTAATTTCATTATGGAAAACTCATGAAAGTTAGAGTGGCCTCCAAAACATATCTGTTGGTACCTTTTCGGTCACTCAGGTCTTCTGCAATGCCTTTGTTGTAATTCCCTCAGGAGAGAGGAGTTGGTCTGTCATTGGAACCAAAGTTGTTGATTTCAGTGAGAAAGTGAACAACACAATGTTGCGAGCGCACTGAAGCCTCTATTATCTCAGGCCTCCAGGAGGTGCTCGCTCTCCTTCACAAGTTGCTGCCACCAATATCAATTCAGTACCAATTATTTACTGAGACATGTGTTGCTTTGAAACTTAAACTTGTTTATTTGATCAGTAATATATAATAGGTAAATCACAAGTTGCTAATCAATTTCTCTCACTCACTGAACTCACTGACACACAGAACCCTACTCTCACTGACTTTCTGGCTCACAGGCCCACAGACTCACAAATCTCTAAACTGCTTCTCATACGCCATACACCCCCCTTTATCTCCAAGCCCCTCCCCCTTCAGCACCACCTTCCGTTCACTCATTGGCTCCTTTTCCACTGCTCACCTGTGACAGACAGGTGAGGGCAGGGCTGAACATTACACACAACTCTTCAGTTTTGGCACTGATTTTTTTTTCTGCACTAAGAATATCAGCTTTTGGTATAGCTCATAAGGGTGGCAAAAAGTTAACCTCGGGCCTTACTGGAGTTAGGGAAAAGTTTGAAGGTGCATAGGTAGTGCTGAGGCCTGGGATTGAAGGACAGATTATTCAGTCAAGTGAGAACAGTTGAAACAGATATTTTTACAATATCTGAGTGTTTCTGTTCAATTTTCCAGCTGGCACTGCAACAAACAATTTTCTGTTTCTCCTAGCAACTTTTCAGGTTTCTGCAAACCTTGGAGCTACTTCATATTGCCCAGGTGTTGCTGTTCTGGCAGCAGACAGAGATCTTTCTGATCATTGAGGCATTTGGCAGATTGCTGATGTTTGTTCTCATGAGCGGATGCTGTGCTTTGATGGCTGTAGAAGTTTTAATTCAACTGTATTTCAATTTATTTATTTCCTTTTGCCCTCAAGGGTTCCCAAGTTGGCGATCCTTTGCATTTACAGTAATTTTTTAAAAATTGGCCTTCAGTGTTTTTAAGTTTTAATATGTGAACCAATTACAGGTTCTGGAGAAAGACAGACTTTTATTTTGTTGTTTTTCTCATTGTTGACAACAGTGGTGTGTGTGTGTGTGTGCTTTCTTTAGACTCAGAAAAGTGAATTAGAAGTACAAAGAATGGTTTTAAAGATCAATTATACAGTTTACTCAGAGGAAAGTCATTGTGTTTAATGGAGTTCATAAATATGATAATTATGTGCCATTAAGTCAGTATTGACATGGCAACCCCTTTCAGGGTTTTCTAGGTAGAGTGTACTCAGGAGTGGTTTACCATTCCCTTCTTCTGCGGGCATCCTGAGACCACGCAGCTTGCCTAAGGCCACAGAGGCTCCCAGGATGCACAGTGGAGAATTAAGCCCCCAAGCTCTGGTTCCTCAGCCAGAGACCTAACTCAGTGAGCTATAATAAATGCATTTGACTGATTGCAGATGAAGTAAATGTTTGCAGAACTGTGTTATTAATGGAAAGCACTAACTTTGGAACATGTTTCCTCACATAAACTGCTCCAGTTATATTGCTTCATGCTGGCCTTGGAATTGTATTCTTGATTAACTAGTGTAATCATAAACCCAGCAGTGGGGCATGCAGGAAAGTGTACAGTTAGCATGAGAGAGAAAAGAGCAGAAATCTCTCTGGTTATTTCCTGCAGCAAATGTCTGAAGGCATCCTTTAGTATTGGTCTAGTTGTTTCATGTGACATGAATCAGAAAATTTAGAGTATGATGTCCAGCACTGTGTATACATTTTCAGCCGCAACACTCATACAGTCAATCCTCAACTTACGAACGTCCCTACATACGAAAGTTTCAATTTATGAACGGCTCTGTTCGCAAAAATTGGCATTGACTTGCAAAAGGAGCCTCGACCTACAAATAAGGTCGAGGCTCCATTTGCAAGTCGATGCCTTTTTTTTGCAAACGGAGCCGTTTGTCGCTTTCGGGGGGGTCTCAAAGGGCTTTCCCCCCCAACATCGGAGGAAGCTGTTTGCCGGTCGAGGCTCCATTTGCAAGTCGATGCCTTTTTTTTGCAAACGGAGCCGTTTGTCGCTTTCGGGGGGGTCTCAAAGGGCTTTCCCCCCCAACATCGGAGGAAGCTGTTTGCCGAAGGCAAAAAGTCAGGGGGAAAGGTCAGGGAGAAAGGGCTGGAAATTCGAATTTCCAGTCCTTTATCCCTGCCTTTTTGCCTTCGGAGCTCTCAAAGGGTTTCCTCCGATGTCAGGGGGAAAACCCTTTGAGACCTCCAAAGGTAATTTTTTGAAATGCTGGAATGGATTAATTCCATTCCCATGCATTTAAATGGAAAATGGTACTTCGACTTACAAACTTTTCGACGTACAAAGGCAGTTCCAAAACAGATTAAGTTCATAAGTTGAGGTACCACTGTAATTCCTTTGGTTCTGCTGACTGTTGTTTATGGGCATTTTAGCCTAAAATATTTGGGGAGCACCGAACTGCCCGTCTCTGTTCTGTAGCAACTAGGATATCTGAAGCTGGGTGTTCCATGTAAACTCCATCCGAGTCTTGTGGTTACCTTTGGGTGGACCTTTTACTTCTCCTGGGCCTCAACAGACCTGTACTGGTAGAGTCTGTGAGAGGGCTTTGAACAAGCTAACCAGGTGATGTCGTCTCACACACTGCCTCTTGCTTTGCAGTCGCTACCCCAGCAGAAGCTGCTCACTTGGCTGAGTGTCCTTGAGTGCTTGGAGGTCTTTGCTGAGATGGGAGCTGCCAAGGTGTGGGGAGAGACTGGCCGGTGGACCATCATTGTTCTCATCCAGGTCGCCAAGTGAGTGTTCAGTGGGAAAGTTCATGGAATTGTAGAGCTGAAAGGGAACCCAAGATTCACCTGCCTCTTGCTTTGCATCAAGTCCAAGTCCTTGCCTTGGCAGGAAATCCACAGCCAAAACAACCCTGACAGGTGGCCATTCAACCTCTGTTTAGAAACCTGCAATGAAGGAGAATCCACCACTTTCTGAGGTAGTCCATTGCACTGTTGAACAGCTCTTACTGTCAGGAAGTTCTTCCTCATGTTTAGACAGTCACCTTTCTCTTAATTTGTGTCCATTAGTTCAGAGCCTACCCTCTAGAACTATGAGAAACCAGTTTCTCCTTCTTCTACATGACAGTCCTTCAAATGTTTGAAGATGGCTGTTATATTACTTCTTAATCTTCTCTTCTCCAGGTTAAACATATCCAGTTCCCTCTGTATTTCCTCATACTGTATGGCTTGGTTTTGAAACTTTTTACCATCCTGGCTGCCTTCCTTTGGACATGTTCTAGCTTGTCAATATCCTCCTTAAACTGTGGTGCCAAGAACTGGACCCAATATTCCAAGAGAAATCTGACCAAAATACTTTGGTGTTCTTACTCCTGTTGCTCTAACACTGTGTTCCTGTAGATGCAACTAAGTATTATATTTGCTTTCCCCATCTCATCACAGTGTTGACTTGTGATCTATTAAAAATCCTTTCCACATGTGCTACTGTCAAATTAACTGTCATCCATCTTCTCTTTGTACACCTTCCTGAATTTAGAATTACATTTTTTTCCTGTTTTGAAACTCACATTGTTAGTTTTGGTTCAGTTCTCCAGTGCCTTTAGGTCATCTTGAATGCTGATTTTGTCTTCTGGAGTATTAACTAAGTCTCCCAGTTTGATGTTTTCTGCGGATTTGATGACTGTTCTTTCACACCCTCATCCAAGCAATTTTGAAAAGTGCTAAACAGTCCTGGGGCCAAGACAGAACACTGTGGCACCCCACCTGCCACTTCTTTCCAGGATGATAAGGAACCACTGTTCTCCCTCAGCTGTGTGCGCGCGTGCGCCTCTGCCTCCCTCTGCACAGCTGTCTCCCCCCTCTGCACAGCAATTACGCTAGGTTTCAGTCGTCACGTAATCCTGTGCACGAGGGGGTGAGTTGCGCATGCAGGAGCAAAGTCACGTGTAACAGAGAGGCGCCCAGTGGAACTGAAAGTTAGAGGATACGTTGTAAGGAACCCTTGGTGAACACCTTTTGACCTCTCAACTAGCTACAGATTCACCTAGTCCACTTTTTACTAGCTTGCCTCCTAGAATATCCAAGAAATCAAAGATACACCATGTCTGTATCTGCTCACCTACAAAGCTCTGACAAAAAAGGGAGATGACCTTAGCTTGGAATGACTTATTTTTGGGAAACTCATGCTGGGTCTTGGAAATTACAGCATTCTTTTCTAGGTGCTCACAGACTGTTTAATGACCTCTTTTTGAACTTTCCTAGAATCATTGCCAAACTGACTGGTTGGTAGTTGCCTAGATCTTCTTTTTCCCTCTTTTGGAAGAGGAGGATGAAATTTGCTCACCTCCAGTCTTTGGGGACCACACCTGTTTTTCAAGATCAGAGACAAAGGCTCCAAGAATGTATCTGCAAGTTTGTTTCATACCCTGGAATGCAGTTTGTCTTGTCTAGAAAACTTGAATTCATTTAAAACCACCAGATGTGCCCGTATCACCTCTTTGCTGATCTTAAATGACAGCCTCCTCCTTTCTTCCTTTATTCTACCTACACTAAGGTGAGCACAGTTCTTCTGGGAGAAGACAAAGACAAAATAGACATTCAGCAGTTCTAGCTTCATTCTGTGTCCATTTGGTATTTCTCCATCCCTTTTCATAGCAGACCTAGCATTTCCTTGTTCCTCCTCTTGTTTCAAGCATAGCTGAAAAATCCCTTGTTGTTTTTTTAATTTCTCTTGCAAGCCTGAGCTCATTTTGAGTGTTTATCTTCCTAACCTTCTCTGTATAATTATTGGTTACTCATTTGTACTCTTCACTCCTTATACAGACATCTTTTCTTCCAGTACATTCACTTTTCCTTCTTGTAGGAACTATTTGTGATTATGCCTTTAATATCTCACCTCAAAGAACTTCCCATCCATCATGGAATCCTTTTCTCTTTGAATCAGAGAATCATAGAATAATTGAGCTGGAAGGGGCCTATAAGGCCATTGAGTCAAACCCCCTGCTCATTGCAGGAATCCAAGTCAAAGCAGATCTGACAGATATTTGTCCAATATCTTCTATAATGCCTCAAGTATTGGAGCACTCACCACCTCCCAAGGTAATTGGTTCTATTGTTGTACTGCTCTAATAGTTAACATGTTTTTCCTGATATTCAGCTAAAAACTGGCTTCTTATAACTTGAGGCCATTATGTGTTCTGCACTCTGGGATGATCAGGAACATATTCTGCCCTTCCTCTGTATTATTATCTTTCAAGTATATGACAAATGCTATCATATATCCCCTCAGTTTTCTCAAGGTTAAACATGCCCAGTTCTTTAGTCTTTTGTCATAGGGCTTCGTTATTTTTGACCACTGGATATGACCCAGTGTTTCCTTAAGCACATTGAAATCAGTTTTTCTAAAATCAAGAGTACTTCTAACACTGCAGTTTTCTTTTTCTCAGTACAGTGGTGCCCCGCTTAACGATTCCCCCCTCCACAACGAATCCACTTAAGAATTAGGTTTTTGAAATCGCAGAATGATGTTTAGATAGGGAAAAAAAGTTTTACGATGATCGGTTCCCTGCTTCGGGAACCGACTTTTTGCTTTACAATGATCAAAACAGCTGATCGTCGGGCTTTCAATGTGTCTCCCCGCTGTTTAAAATGGCTCCCCGCTGTGTTTCCTCGCTTTACAGGCACCGGAAAATGGCCCACCTATGGAGCATCTTTGCTGGACAATGAGGTATTTCGCCCATTAGAACGCATTAACTGGTTTTTAATGCATTCTAATGGGCTTTTTACTTTCGCTTGATGACGATTTTGTTCTACAGCGATTTTGCTGGAACAGATTATCGTCATCAAGCGAGGCACCACTGTATAATAAATTCCAAGGGGGTATGGTGAGCTTCACCCAAAGTTTCCATTATTTCCACCTGGTCAACTAATTTTTCCATGTTGTTAGGACCTAATCCAAGATGGTTCATCCTCATCGTTTCTTCCACCTTCTGGAAGATGAAGTTATCAAATGAGGCAAATGACGGCAAATGAGGACTTTGTTGACACCTAAGGTTTTGGGAGAGCTGGATTTAAATCTCATTTGGTTGAGGCCACTACTCAGGTGTGTTAGGTCGGTGAGTGCCAAGCAGGCCCTGTTCACTAGTGGGCAGAGGGGTGGGTCTGTTTGCCATTTCATACAGAATGACTCTACAAAGAGTCACTTACCCATCCTTTGTGCTTCTTTCCCAGCCACACTTGGTTTCAGCCTGTGTCCCAAGAGCATGAGCTGTTTTTCAGGGACTATGATTGTGTAAGCCTTCCAACCCTGCTATAGATTGTCCTTCAGGAAAGGCCACAATCCTTACACAGCCATTTCAGCCTGAGCCTGTAGAGGAGAATGAACAGCTTCCAGACATGGTTGCAAAAGCAAGAGTGTGAGAAGTCTACTATTGCAAAGGATAGATGTGTCTGTATTTTTTCCATTTCCTCTGTGAAACTGCAGATCCCAGTATGTGCCTGTTGCTTACATCTCATGTCTCACTCGAACCCACAGGGCCATCTTGCGTCTCCTGCTGCTGCTCTGGTATAAAGCAGGCATCCAGACGTCACCCCCCATTGTGCCGCTAGACAGGAGGCAGTCATTGCAGCAGAAAGGTACTGTGTGTCAAGAGCATTGTGACTGCCACCATTTTGGCTTAATCTTGGAAAACAGAAGAGCATTTTGCATGCTATTCCGCTTAAGGATTCCTATATTTATCAGCCTATCAAGGAAGAAAAACATTTGCCTGGTCTCCGTGGTTTCCCTGTATTGCTCTTTGTCAGCATGCGTTTCAAGTGAGAGCCCCAGCACACACAGGTAGTGCTGCGCTCAAACATGGAATAAGTGCACACCTCTGTTTCTGAGAAGATGGTGCACATCAAGATGATCATGTGCGATTCTGAGAGGCCACCCCTTCAGTGCGCCGTCAGTGATATCACTCCTTGCAGTTTGTGTGGAATATTAAGGGCATTAGATTAGAGTAAGCCTGGGCCAATTGTTTCCTTTTAGATTTTGGACTGGAGTTTCCATCTTCACTCACCTCTGGCTAGAGTGGATTGTAGTAACAGCATGTTGTGGCCCAAACATCAGGAAGGCACTGGGTTGGGGAAGGCCAGCAACGTTAGAAGGGGGCAGACATCCACTTTCTCTTGTTCAGCCAGAGCTGTGGCCTCAAGAGCTGAATCAGTGTGCTCTGGAAAAAAATGGTTTTTTGGATCTTGAACTGTAAGATCCCTGGCAGTGCAGTTGGGTCCCCACAGATTTTTTTTTAATACTGGGCAGAATGTTGGCCCGGCTCCTTCCCTACCTTGCCCTCTCTTTCAGAGAAGGGGAGGCTCCAGACAATTGTGCAGCTCCACTGCTGCCTATGTTCAGATATTAACAGTAGGGTCCCCAGGCTTCATGTTTGTGCTGCATGGCATTTTTTAAGACCTATTTTCCCACAATAGGTGCCTTCCAGCTATTTTGGGTGGCAGTTCCCAGAATTCTTAGCCATTAGTCATGCTCGCTGGTGATAACAAGAGTTGAAAGCCTGGAGGGTGCAAGGGCTGTGGTTGTTGCTTTAGTTCCTACAATGGCGGCACCGCGGCTATAGCACAGTGTGCCCACTTCTCATGGCAACTTTACCCTCCCCCATTCCTGTGAGTTGGTGGATTCTCACCGGACAAGTGGCTATGCTCCTGTGATCAGACAAGAAATGATGAGATGGGGTTCCCTGCCTGTGGTCTTATGCACCTGTCTTTTGACAGAGATGGAGGGCAACTCGATGGGAAAGGAGCAGATCTTCGTGGGGAAGCGCTCTAGCCGGGTTGTGCGGTCTCTTGATGGCAGTAAGTGTGATTTTTGTATCTGTCTCTCATCCTACCCCCCCCCAGAGTGGGTCTTGCTTTCTGCATGTGTCACCTGGTTGCAAATATAAGTGTGTGAGGACAGGTTGCTCTTCCCAAGTGTGCTGTCCATGAAAAGGGGTGCCTTTTGTTTTACTTCCAGCCCCGTCGCTGCACTCCAGACACTGGGGTGCACCTCAGCAGCGAGAGGAGAAGCAGAACCGAAGAGCGATGGAGACCGACCAGCCTCCAACCCCTTTGGGCATCCAGGAAACTATTGCTGAGTCCATCTATATTACTCGTCCCTTACTTCACTGTATCCTACTCTGGTCTTCAGTGGTTCTTGTGGTATGCAGTGTGGGCCACTAGGGAGAGCTGCAGCCTCAAAGTAAAGTGACCTTGTCCTTAATGTTGAGAGGACGTGACTCTCAGGCAAGCTGTGTAGAGCTTGCTTTAGTCACTTGGCTGGAGAATATCTTCCCATCAGCTTCTGTTGTTTTATTATCACAGCTCTGATTTCCTTTGAGGTTTACGTTATGCATCCTTCCAGACTCCACAGTGCCTTGGAGATACTCTCTTCCCACACGACTGGCCTTCTTCCTTGACTCTTGTTTACAGTGATGAGCTTAGGGGTCTGGGGACAGAAGTCTTGGAAGCCTTGGCTGCTGTCAGGAGTCTTGGATGTTGCCAGGTCAGTTTATGGGAAAGGGGCTCTGGCTCCTAGATCCATTTTGGTTCAGTTTGGTTTTAATTTTTGTGGGTTTCTTCTAACATGGTTGTTGGTCTTTTACTTTTCTGTTAATGTATTTCTCCTGGCTTAATGGGAGGAGCAGCAATGCTCTGAGTGGCTGGGGAGTCATTGATGTTCATCTTTTGCAGCACCTATGCTGCCTGGTTCTTCCTTCACCTTTATGAGGAAGTGGAGCCTGACATAATTTAAACCAGATTGCTTTTGTGGAACCAGTTTCTGGTGATGGGATTCAGTTTTGGAATATATGGGTGATAGAGGAGCACAGAGTGCCTCTGAGTGTTTGCAGAATTCCTCAGTGCTGAGATTAGGGGAAGGGCTGACAGGTTAGGGAGCATTATATGCAAAGAAGTCTTGAGGTCTAGCAACTCTGATGTGTTCTCTCTCTCTCTTTTGGAAGAATGAGCTGGAATTTCTCTCTGAACATACACATACACACCAAGGAGCATAAACCACCCCGTTAATTCTCTGCTTATCTTCTTCAGCTTGAGCTCACTGAGCGACATGAAAGATCTCAACAAGCGGGAGCGAGTAGAGCTAAGACGCCGGACTGTCTTGCTACTCTACTATCTGCTGAGATCTCCCTTCTATGACAGATACTCTGAGTATGTATGTTAGGCTGACTATTATCTACTCTAGTAGAAACACCTTCCCTGGAACCAGTACAATTTCTGAATGAGTAGATTATCCAGAAATTTGTGGCATCTGAGCACTGAACATTTTGGACAGCTTTTGTCCTCTATTGTATTTCAAGGGACCCTTTTCTACTGGAGAGGAAGCCATTCCCAGAAGCTCATCTGTCTTTTTCCTCTGTTCCCTTAGGGGCAGAATCCTCTTCCTGCTGCGCCTGCTGGCCGATTACGTCCCTGGAGTTGGCCTAGTCACTCGTAAGTTAATGTCTCTTGTCATTGCTCCTCTTGAAAGGAAACAGAACAGGGGGTCTTTCCTCAATCTTGGAATCAGTGTATTTGTTCACAAAACTATTGTACAGGGAAAGAAGCATGTAGAGCTTGGGAAATTAACAGTTTTAAGCAAGTAGTCACAGTTACAGTTCCAAGGCAGCACCCTTGCCTTTGTAGTTAGTTTCCCTACCTGCCAACAGTAACTAAGGTACAGTGGTGCCCCACATAGTGATGTTAATCCATTCCGGATTAATTGTCGCTATGCAGAAACAGCGCTAAACAGGATGGAAAAAGCCATAGGAACGCCAAGTAGTCACAGTTACAGTTCCAAGGCAGCACCCTTGTAGTTAGTTTCCATGACAGTTTCAGTTTCTAACGAGTAAAACTTTAGTTTTCCTACCTGCCAACAGTAACTAAGGTATTTACTTTTTAGTTTCTTAAGTATGTTTAAATGCAACGACACAACACAAACCAGCACCTTAAAGCATTAATGCGTTCCTATGGCTCCCAGACTCACAGTTCAGCGAAGTTCCTCCATAGCGCCGCCATTTTCGCGCCCTCGGTAAGCGAGGGCAGGACACGAAAACACTTGTGGCGGCCATTTTGGGCGTCCGGCGGCCATTTTGGAACCACCGGTCAGCTGTTGAAAAAAACATCGCAATGTGATTTTCGGCCATAGAAAACATCGCAATGCAATCGTAAAAACGATCGCAAAATCTGCATCACTATGCGGATTCGTTGTTAAACGGTGCACTCGTTAAGCAAGGCACCACTGTAATTACTTTTTAGTTTCTTAAGCTTGTTTAAATGCAATGACACAACACAAACCAGCACCTTAAAGCTTGGAATATTCCTCGTCCCTCAGTTACTGAGGCCACACCTATGTTATGTTGGAAATAATTGATGGGATATAGTTGCATTGCAAAAAGAGTAAGGCTATCCCACTCTTGAATTACAGTTTTTACATAATTTATTCATGCTTTCCTGATTAGAAAAATGGAATTTATCACAAAGAAGGTGTTTAAAAGTACCTACTTCCAGTTGTGTAAACAGGACTGGAAAAACTTTAGGTTCCCAAACGCAGCATACTAGAATTTTCTCTTAACCTTTAGAAATGTAAACTGTTTCTCTCAGTCATGGGTAGGAGGAGACTACGTATAACCTTAATGATGTAGCTATTGTGAGATATTCCTTACCATCATTGCATCGACCCCCCCCTCCAGAGCAATGAAGCTTAACCGGGTTTAAGAGCTGGTATCTGAAAGCCGCCTAGAGTGGTCGTTTTGACCAGATAGGTGGGGTACAAATTGAACGAACGAATGAACAAACAAACAAACACAGTCTTTGTAAATGTGGAAAACCACAGGAATGACAGCCAGGAATCCACCAAACCCCATTCTTTCTGTCAGGGCACCCAGTTGGTTATGGGCGGGAGCCACGGCACTTGGAGCTCCCCAGATATTTTTGGACTTCGGTTCTCATCAGTTTCAATCATTGGGGCCAGGGATGAAGAGGGACTTGGGAATCGAGGAGCATCTAAAAGGTTAAAAGTTTCCTACCCCAGATTAAAGGACAGAGTATCTTGCATTACAAGAATACCTAATGTATTGTGGTAGATAGAGACTGGTGAGGACTTATGAGAATTGGGTTCATGTCCCCAATTGGCCATGGAAATTAGATTGGAAGGTGGGACTTGTAAAACCATTCCTTAAATATCTCACAAAACTCTGAAAACCCTTTTAGGGTGACGGTTAGAGATGGGGGTACACGAATATCCCTTCCCCCCCGCAGGTAGAGATAACGAGGGTCCGGTGCCATGGAGCTGGACGGTCCACTCACGATTCCGCCACTGCTGCAACCACCGTGGAGCCTTCCAGTGGCTCTGGAGAGCCCATTCAGCGAGCCCCTCTTCGGCCTGCCTCCTGCCAGGAGTGGTGAGCCAAACACCATCTCCGGAGCCATTGAAAGGCTCCGCGGCAGTCGCAGCAGTGGCACAATCATGAGTGGACCCTCACTATCCCCACCCGTGGGGGGGATATTCATATATACGAATACAAATACCCCCATCTCTAGTGATGGTAAGTTGATGTGGACTTGACGACATATAACACACAAGCCCACCTTGCATTCTACTGGCCAGCCTTCCATTGAGCCAGGTGCCATTCTCCTACATTATCATGCCTTAGCCCTAGCCTACCTGCAATTTTTCTCACGTGGGGTAACCTCATCAGCAGTTGCAGAAACATATTTGATATTTTTTAAATTAAAACATGTAATTTTCTTACCATTGATTATTTTTCTTTCCCCCATTTCAGGTCCATTGATGGATTACTTGCCAGCCTGGCAGAAAATTTATTTTTACAACTGGGGCTGAGCTGGTCTTGGTTTGGAATATTGAAGCTAAGGGTGACTCGGGCTGAAAAAGAAGCAGCTTGGAGTGGCAGGATGCTTTCATCCTGAGGGGAGGGAGCCTTGAGACCTATGAGAAGCCGCACAAACCTGCCTGTCTATGGCTTATGAAAAATTGTTTTCAGGAGACCAATAAGGGCTCATCTGCATTTTTTAAAAGGAAGTATCTTCTTGTGAACAATGAACACTACAAAGACTGGGACCTGAAATATTTTCGCTCTTCCCTTTTCCGTTCTGATATAACTGGCTTCGGAGTTGGGCGGGTGAGGGGGACTCCTTTTGTATGTATTTTGTATGGCTGTAAATCAATAAACCTGGGCAGCGGGCATGCTTTGGCGCTCATTGGTTTGATCTCTCCCATGTCCTAAGTGAGAAATTCAGAGATAATGAAACAGTGAATCACAGGAAGTAAGGCTCTTTGGCTTCTAGGTCAGGCTGCCAGGCATTCAGGGATCTAGCTAGTGAGGTAGAAGACAGTTTTGCACGGTGGGAGTGCTCAATTTCTAAAGAGAGATCAGCCTGGAAGCCACTCTTTGTTTTTTATGACATCACATACTCCACATGATGGGCCGAAGCCCACTGCTGAAAACCAGCTTCAAGGCTTACATTAAGTCATTAGGGCTTATTGTGCAAACCAGTTCTTAAGCGTATTTCCTGGTTGGCTTTTCCAACAAATACCTGCTATGTACATCCCTGCAGTCCAGCACTGCAGTTGGCAGGGAACTGAGCACCCCTCTGGCTAGCTCGGGCAACAAGCCAAGATTGCTCTTGGCTATGCTTTTCCTTGGCACAGGTCGAGAGGTCCATATGCCACTCAGCTGGAATCTGGTCTACCAGGCACTGTTGTCCTTTTTCCTGCTTAATTCTTTGCTATTCCTTGGAGGGTGTTCAGTTTCACAGTTCATAGATAATCTTTGAAAAGAGAAGGAAGCATGTGCTTGGAAGTTTTGGAGAGCAGGCTGTTAGCGGAGAGCCGGCAAGTGGACACAGAGGCTTTGACAGCTTTGGTGTAATGCTTGTTGAATTAAGTTCTTCAAAAAGGGAACTTAAAGACCAGGCTTGATGCCAACATCATATACATTTGAAGAGTTGCTCTTAGTCAGTGGTGGGAAACACACCATCTGGGGCCCTCCAAGACTTTTACTCTCCACCTTCTCAAACCCACCGCAACTGCAAAAAGTTGTTGTCTGTAGAAAAAGGTATTGCTACGCTGGAACCCTCCAAGGGCAGCAGTTCTCCTTTTTCACAAGGTGTAGGATATGACAGTTCATCTTTTTGAGTGGAAAAAAAGGGGCACAGGGAGGGTTGTACTTTGCCAATCCCTGCTAAGTGGTTTGAGGTGTAGATTTCAGGGCTGTGTTTATGTCAGCTGTCCTGAAACTGTTGTTCCCCCCCCCCATGGGTTGGTTTACAGTCGCATCATTCCTGTGTGGTCAACTACAACTGTCATGTCCGTTTAAGGTGGTCAGCCAAGATCTGGAAAAGGTGGTTTGTATCTACAGAGACAGAGCATGTAATGGTTCTTGCACACGGGGTAGCCTAGAACAAGGAACTGATAGTTTCCAGGGATCATGAAGCCATAAAGGGGATGGTACACCTGCTTTCTTAAAGGAAATTTCTGCTTGTGGTTAGGTAATCCACCTTTTAAGCAGTTGTTCTGCAAAGCGTGATGATTAAACAGCGTATAAGCCAGAAATAAGGCACAAGAGGTTGAGTTATAGACGGCGAAGACCATGGTCCTTGCTGAATATCTGTTGGGATGCCATATTTAAGTCTTTTCAGATTGAAGAGGTGTGCAGTGGGGCACACACCTCAGGCTGTCTTTTTGCAATACAGAACTAATGTTGCAATCCCTTTGCCTGCAGAGTGTGTGCCTCCTGTACAGGTTTTGTGTTCTATACTGTCCAGTAAAACTTTACAGATGATAAGCATGCCTGCTTGTGATGAAAATGAAGGGTGGCATAACAAGGGGGTACCAAGTTTGGAAGATGTTGAAAAGAGGCTCATTGGAGGAAAACGGGGAAAAGAGCCATATATACCGAAGTCAAGAAGATATATTGCTTAGAAACATTTCTGAAGTAGCCCTCACAACCACCTACCCACCATTGTCATTAGGATTCTGGGAACTGTAAATTTTTAAAAGTAACCTCAAAAACTATGCAGGGAGGTGATTTGAATTCACAGTGTCTAACTGCAGCATACCAGAAATCGGTCACAAACACAGAGCTGCAGACAGGTACAAACGCATGAGAGAATCAACACTTTTGCCCTAGTAATTGACTAAGCCTTCTGTGCATAAGATAGTTCCCATTGTCCAGGCCTGTTTCACGGAATCCAGTATTGCCTCAATATTCTTTACCTTTGTGATGGCATTGTCAGCCTTGAGAATGGCCTTCTGTCCCATTGAAGGCACTGAATAGGAGCGAGAGAACCGTCAACGTAGATTTCATCTTCCTGCCTTGATGGGACTCCTACTTCTGTTGCTTCTCTTGGCAGAGGAACTATGGCTCATGCCAAGTCTTGAAAGGTAACAGTTAAGGGATCATTGTTTTGGAAAAAAAATGTGCAAATGAGTTTGTACACCAATGGGAGTTTAGAGGGAACCATGACTGATAAGCCATCTCTGACCCCTCTTCCATCTCCAGGAATTATATATCAATCCTTGCCTATGCCGTTTGGGGCTGTCAGTGTTGTAGTCCAAGTACATCTGTAGATCAGGTGACCATCATCACAAAGGAGTATGCACATTCCCCAAAGGAGAACAAAAAAGGTTACAAATTCTGATAAAATTACAGGTGCTAATGTGCTAAAATAGGTGCTAAAATACAGATGCAGAGTTAGAAATTGTTTTAAACATTTAAACAGAATTACTTAATCTCACGCGACTGGAAAAGACTGACCAGGTTATTTGTGCACTTGAAAGCTCTGTTGTCTACTGATCACTCCCTGTAGGTGGACAACTGAAACTTCTTAAGCAATTGATCTTTCATCAAATTTCATCAAAAGAACTGTTCTCCCTAATAGAGGACCAGTGGTCAACCTAACTCTTTAGCACCTAGTTGGTGGAACTGACCTATTCGATGTGTAGTACTCTTGCCTCCTTTAACCAGCTGGTTCAACAAAGTGAGCCTTCTGGGCTCAACAGATCACCCCTTACTAAACAAACTCCATGCCAAAACAAAGTAGTTAATGACAGGAAGATTATATTCCAAACGGTTTACTATCTGGATAGTTCAATGCAATTGTAATTCTGTTATTGCTTTTTGGGGTCTTCCATGCAGTGCACTGTTTTACCTGTGTTTCTTGGTGGCGGAAGATCACAGGGTTTATTGGACTTTTTAACTTAACAGGCCAATGTTGCAGTGCTTCAGTGCTATACTTGGACTGTGAATTTGTGTCCAACCAACTGTAACACTTGCCAGTGGGAGCAAACTTTCACATTTGTTTTGCCTTTGCTGCTGCTGTAATGCTAATGCTTGGAAGTGCTAAACTTTGTTTCCCCGAATACAAAGAATGAACTGTGGTTTGGAGAAGGACAAAAAGGTACAGAAACTTGTGAAAACAAATGGTACAAACCAAAGCAAGAGAAATGTGATTTGTAAATTCCCAGGAAGATCATCATAAAGGAGGAACAAATGTTGCATGTTTCAGGGTTATTCCATTTAAGTTTGCACTGACACTAAATGAGAAAAGGGATTTCTGAAGCTCATTATAATGTGCTCAAGCCAACCTTTGTTTAAAGCACAGTTAAGCCACATATGGGAGATTTGGAAAAGCTCCAATTAGACAGAGTTTCACCAAACAAAGGTTGGTAAACCCCCCCACCCCCATCCGATGGTGAGTCATTGCGACAGAAGTTGGAGGCACAATACTCATATTAAATGTAAGCATTGTGTTATTTATCTTGGCATAAGGGGGGGGGGGAACCATGTGCTTGTATAGGATAAACTCAGTAATTACCTTGCTGAATAATTTAGGATTTCGTGTATTCTCCACAATGTTGTAACCATTAAATAAAACCCATGTTCTTGCAGAGTTGTATGTCCCAAAAAGAGATGCAAAAAAAAAAAATTGGATGGGACAGTACACCATGAAACAGACATTTTAAAAGGCACTTGCCAAAAATGCAATAAAAATATATTTAGTGAAGCACCTCTAATCATTTGCCCAGTCTGTACATTTTCCCCTTGGTCACCCATGTTTGTATTCCTCTTTCCTCTCAATTTCATTTGTATCATGAGATTGTAAGCTTACAAACAGGACCTGGTGCGCCTTCTAATCTCTACAGAACATCTTAAGTGCTTTGTAAGATAATAATAGCAACAATAGAAATGATGGAATAAGGACAAATGGAATATAACAGAAGCACATCAGTCTACAGCAGCCAGTGTGGTATCATGGCTTGAGGTGTTGGAGTTGATCTCAGAAGACCTGAGTTCCTGTCGCCACTCATCCAAGAAACTCACTGGATTAGTTTAGACCAGTGATGGCGAACCTATGGCACGCGTGCCCACAGCTGGCACGCAGAACCCTCTCTGTGGGCACATGAGCCATAAGTCACCATCGAGAAATATTTACTATTTATCCATCCTCCGATCCCGGATTTTGGCACTCCCCTCTGCTGGTGCAGATTAGTGGCCTATAAATGTATCCCGTCACCAATCCCTCTGATTGTTAAATTATAAGTATTTATTTGTTAATACTACCTATGCGGGGGGGGGGGGGGGGAACCAAGCATTTAACCCTTGCAGTGCAGGAACACATTTTTTTTTCCTAAACTGAACCTCAGCATTCGGGTTTTAATTGCAGCATTGGCACTTCAAAATAAATAAGTTGATTTTGTGTTGTAGTTTGGGCACTCGGGCTCAAAAAGGTTCACCATCACTGGAACTTTAGACCAATCTCTCAGCCTGACCCACCTGACAGGGTTAATGTGAGAATTAAATGGGAAGAAGAAATCTTTTTACCTTGAGCTAACTGGAGGAAGAAGAAAAAATAGGACACATATGTAATGAATGAATAAATAAAAAATCAGAATAAGGAGTGAACATTTTCTATCCTGGAAGCATGAACAGAAAAGTAGAATAGAAACAAACAGTTGAAGTTTAAGCAGCTATGTACTGGCCGAACTGTTGCTTAGCAAATTAAATCACACTAGAGTAGGCCCACTGAATCAATGGGGATTTGATGAGTCAATTCTTTCATAAGTTTCATTGACTGAAATGGATGTACTCTAATTGTGACTTATTTTAGCATACATGGAACATGCTGAATTAATGTTGTGCAAGCTGGTGCACTACGCAGTGAGATGCCCTTTGCAGTATCAATTAACCAACATACATACAACCAATTCTACAACAGATACCACACCAAATAGGGTAACTGTGCAGTGTCATTTTGGAAGTTGTACAGCCAGTTCTGCATTGTTAATTTCCACAGTATTCATGTGGAAATCCCAAACAGGATATTTGTTGTATAATATCATCATTTTTACAAATCCATGCTATACTACAGATACATGGTATCTATTATGCATTTTTTTTACAAGTTAGCATAAAATATTCAGGGTGTATTAATATATTAATAAGTCCTTAAGCAAGGGGTCTGTCCAGGCTTGGAAAGATGCCTGTTAACAGTCTATGTTTCATTGTAAGTCTTTTCTTTCGTTCTCATTTGGGCTACTGCCCTTTGCTTTCCTCACCAAAGGAAGACTTGCCATTACCACAGTGATGGAGATAAGGCAATCTCTAGGGCAGGGTAGATTTGGTGAGTCTAGGAGGCAATATTTAGACATGGAGCCTTCCATGGATTGCAGAGACCATAAAAAATACCAAAATCCACAGAAAAAGAGAACAGAACTAGCCAGAAGTCCAGTTTTAAGGGGAAATTGTATTTGGAAAGCATTAATACAGGATGGCCCTATGACCTATTTAAAAGCTTTATCACCCCTCTTGGGGTCTTCCAAGAGCCACAATTCACCATTTTTTTCCTACCAGAAAAAATGGGGTTGGGGAAGATGGGAAGCCACTGGAAGACCACACTTTGTCCATCTTGACTGTACATGGAGTTTGCTCTAACTCCAAAATCAAAATGAAAACTAGGAGTTTTGACAGCAACTATAATAGTTCCTTGTCTTGTCCTTTTTAATTTTTTTATAGCAAACACAGTCCACCTGTCCCCGAGGAATTCACTGCACCCCTGGAGCTCCAGCAGCAGCACTTTGGCTTGGTGGATGGTATACTTTTGTTCTTGTTCTTAACACTCAAGGCCCCCAAAAAGTCTAGTCTAGGGACGTCAGGAAAGATATAGACAGAATGAGTTCTCTGCTAGAGTGTGTTTGTGTGTGTGAATGCAGTGGGTGAGCATGCAGATGTGAGGAAGGGAAGGGAACATACGCCAATACAGGCCCCAATCATGTATTAGTCCCAGGCACATGTCTTAGGGCTGACAAATATGAGTTTATAAGGAAACTAGTTCTCAAGAATTATGAACTCTAGGCATTCTAGCACATGTTCATACATCTGCTAAGGGTGTTTGCATTTTAATATGCATCCTTCCAAGATTAGATATAAAAATTATTTCCAGTTCTTACTTTCTTTTTCACCACTTTGTAGTCCACTACTTCCTGTTTTCACAGATTACGGTATTAAACCAAAGCACCCCCAGCTCCGGACATGGACACAGCGCAAGAAATCGGAAAAACTGCACAAAGCACATAAGAGCAAGCGAGATGAGCCCAATTTTGAGGAGTATTACTATGATGACCTCCTTTGATGCCCATCTGTGAAGAGAACATTATAAGAGCCGTCTCTTAAGTGACCATGTATCCATGGAATTGTCAATCATTGGCAAAAAAAAAAAAAGTTAGACAAATGGGTGTGCTATGCCCAAATCTCTGCTATGGTTATCTTCTCTGGCTCTCACCTGCCGTGTTTTCTTTCCCTCTTGCCCAAGAATTCCTTCTTAGCTCTTAGTCAAACTATGATTCCAAATTCTATTGGAAATTTGGTTACTGTGCAAAATTCTATAGTGTGAACATGTAGGTATTTTCTATTTTGCTAAGTTGATTACATTATTTGAATAAGTAGTTGTTTGCTTTTTTTAAAAAAAAGAATAATAACACACAGCTCTGAAGTTCTGGCTTCTTTTTTTATGGTGCCCTGCAGATCAAATATGCTGTGAAGGCCATTTTAGAAGGGCTCCTTTGCTGAAAACAACAGCTTTGCCAGAGCATATTCTCAAATGGATAGGCTGGAGAAGAGGCCAGGAGATTAGAAAAGCGCTTTGCAGCAAAGCTGTTTAGAGTTACTGGGATTCTGCCATCTTTAAACCTTTTAACAAAATATGACAACATGTCACCATATTTGTATTACTTTGTGTTGATGGCCACAAGCCAGGACATGGAAGTCTGCTCTAGCAAGGGTTCACAAAACACATTCAGAACGACCTTCCCTGGCAAACTCCCTGTCGCACCTAACAAGAAAAAGACGTACAAAAGGCTCCCTGCAATCACTCCTCACCAAAATATATCAGAAACAGTAATTTCCCTAATTTGGCATCCTCTGAATATGATGGACTACAATCCCTTTCTGATCATCTCAGGCCATGCAGAAAAGCACCTGGTTAGAGAAGGCTGGAATATGGGGAGATAAATATTCACATCCCAAGCAATTCCAGGAATGAAAGCTACACAAAGGGAGTTTCACACAGTAATTTCACACAATTAACCTAGCAGGACCTTCTCAAAATCATGGTGTTTACAGCTACACAGTTCTGAAAATGGAAGACTTAATGATTTTTTAAATGTTTACGCGTTACAGTCTGGGCTTCTGGAATTCTGTTTAGATGCAAACTAGGGGGATTCTCCTCAAAATGGAGAATAGTCATCCAGATTTTGGCTCTTGCAATCGTCACAAAAGAGGTAAAAGAAAGAGCAGTTGTTCAGAGACCAGGCACCCTGAGCAGCAACAACAAAGAAAATAGCACAGGCTCTTTGAAACATCAAGGTTTAATCATTGTTGTCATCAGAGCAGATCCAGCAGAAGCACAGAACCCCCCCCATGTGGGGGGGGGCAGGTGGGAAAGGGAGGAGGGCAAAGGCACACCTTTCTGTAGCTCTTATTAGCCCCTTGTGGTCACTCGCACTGTCCCCCTAGCGTCACTTCTCAGTGGGACCTAGCCCTTCCTGATTCAAATTTGTGCTTATGGCTGGAGCTCCTCTCAGGCCCCTAATGAAGATGAATCAGACACACACACACACAGAGGCTCTCAAATGCTTTGCAGGGTCCAGATTCTCCCCATGAACATGAGCCCTGGAGATGGAGAGGAGGAGAGGAAAAGGGAAGAACAGAGCAAAGGTTGCAACAGAGAAGCTCTTTCCATCACATGTGATGGGAAGGTGCCCACCCCACCAACCCCTAGCTATCTGCATGCCTGAAACTCTCTTCTCCTTCATGGGAAAGAGGTCGGGCACCAGTGTTTCTTCAATAATTCCTGGGTCCTTTGACAGGCAGGTGTCATATTCTTCGGAATTGCAGGATATCTATGCTTGGGACATGCTTCCATTTATTTCTCCTCTTTTACCCCCTCTCCCTCTCCCGAGTCCCAGCTAGAGGTTCACTTCATCACTTGTGTCTTCTTCCAAAGTGGAAGATGATCTGCATTTTCATTTCATTAAGTTGCATTGCTCAAGACTAACCACAGCAGCTGTGACTGACGCTCTTCAGCGTACAACAGGTGTCCTACTACAACTGGGGGAGCCATCTCTCTGCCCACCGCACCAAGCCAACCCACGCCATGTGCATAGGTAGCGGGAGGCCCCGGCCAGCCTGCTCTAGACCCAGGGCTCATGCCTGCTCTCCAAAATGATTTGTGATGGCGACAGCACGGCACCTGATTCTGCTGATGGGGCTTTCCTTCTAACAAACCAAAAGTGTTTATATATATATTTATATATTTAAAAAATATTAAACTCCCTTTTGTTCACCCGTCCCGCCCCTCCCCATTTCCCCACACCTGCAACTGAAGGAAAAGAGGTGCGTTGAAAGAGGCAGGGTTAGGAACACGAAGGGAAATGGTTCCCAGGCTGCCACTTGCCCCCGCCTCCTCCAGTCTTGAAGCAGCTTGTCCATGCACAATAGGAAAAAATGGCCCTTTTCTGTACAGGAGGGAGGGCTGGGCCTGCCCCCTACTCTAAGTAGATGTCCTCTGTGGGGCATGTATATTCCACACATTCCTTGTAGAACTGATGGAAGGCCCTCCTGAAAAAAAAAAGAGGGAAAGATATGTCACACAGGAGCTGTGAATCCAATGAGCAATATTTCTTTAAAAAATCATATAGCCTGAGCTTGGAAAAGTTAGTTTTTAGACTATAACATGCATATGTTGCCTGGGATTTTATGGAAATGGTGTGAAAATAACTTTCCCATAATTATTACACACTGGTGTTTACACCCCCCAGCCCCCACTCATAAGAATATGATCATCTAAAGCAGTGGCTCCCAATCATGAGCAACCCAGGTGTTCTTAGACTGCAATTCCCAGAAGCCTTCACCAGCATCTATGCTCGCCACATTTTCTGCAAACTGCAGGCCAAGAACACCTGAGTTACTTGTGGTTGGGAACCACTGATCTAAAGTGGGCAAGTTCTGGGAGTCTGGGACCTGTCTTCATTCTCCCATGAATCTTTGTGGGCCAAACACCTATGCCAGAAGGAGTCTATAGGTTTCCCATCTCAATGCTTTACCATGACTTGAATGTTTAGTAGTTCAGGTTAGAAGTCTGTGCAATATAATTTTGGAAGAAATTACACAAACTGCACTTGGTGTAGCCTCCTTATATGATACACTTCTAATGTAATCAGATTATTTCCCTCAAGTAGTAAACATATACAACTATAGATAATCTAGCACTCAGAAAAATTCCTCCATTGTAGGCACAAATTTTTCCTGTTTCACCATGTCACTGGCATGAAAAATTGCTCGGATGCTGCACAAAGGATAATAAAGTTAGAGCTGCCAAACTACTTATAAAAATTGCAGTGACACAGAACGTGGGCACTGATCTGGTTTTCTGTGTCATTCTGCATCTTTTCAAACTTGATGGGGAAAAATCAGCAGGCAACCTATGTAAAGTTATTATCAGACAAAAAGCAAACAAAACCACAAAAGACACCCCAAAACAAAACAAAACAAAAAACAAGATAACAAGATATGAAATGTTGTGGCACCTAAAAGACTAACCACTATATTTTAATGTGAGATTTTGTGGATCAAGTCCACTTCTTCAGACAATTTCCTCTGGAAAGTTATTAATTCAGGGAAATGAAGATGCAATGCAAGAAACAAACAACGGCCCCTTTTATCTCCCTGGCACTATTTTCTATCTTGCGCCGATCACTCAGAGACCTGGTTCTCTGCAAATCAAAAGAAAAATGAGACTTTTGACAAGAAGGACCTGAGATACAATGTGGGTATGCCAACATTATCAGTGCTCTCTTAAATCAAGTTAGACTGGGATCCATGCAGAGAACAGGAATATTGTAGCTATAACTTGAAACTCACCCTACAGATTCTGCAAGTGGCTTTGTCGACTCCTCCGAAACAAAGACATGGCACGCAAATCTGTGGTCAGCTGGGTGTTTAGTGATAAACCCAAAATATCTGGAAAAAAAATACAGTCTGAGAACTTGGCCTTGAAGCTTGGTCCATGATGTTCTTGGAACAGAATGCAGATGTTACCATCCTCATGGGTTGTCTGATTTTGTTATTTTCCAAACACAGGATATGGCAGGAAGAGAACCTTCTGAAAACTCAATTATTCTTTTTTACTTTGAAGATACAGATAAAATCATGAAAGTGGAAAAATGCTCAGTAAGAAAAATATTCCTATACAAGTGATCTTAGCTGAATAACATATTTAGCTATCATCCAATATGTGTCTGGGTTGCCTCCGATAAGCCATACTTTTGATGGTCTGCCATACACAGTGCAACGAGAATGGGTGGTATATTTTATTTGTTTATTTGTTACATTTCTATACTATTGAATATACATATTTAATAACCCTTAGGCGATTTAACAAAAGTTAATGGCACATAAATAAAAATGTTACAAACATAAAAACATAAAAGCATAAATAATTTTAAAAAATTAAAAACTAACAAGCCATTTGAAATGCCTGCTAAATGAAATGGTTCTGTCCTACTCCCCAAAAGATTTAAAAACCTCCCAAGGGCATTCCACAACTGGGCTGTCACAGCTAAAATAAAAATCATCATAAAAGTACTTTAAAAGGCTGTACCTTTAATAACACACCTCCCCTCTGAAAGAAGAGGTAGTTGCTAGAGTAGAATATTGTGTCAATTACCATAACATGTAGCAGAATTGTATTGGAAAAGGAAAATCTTTTAAGTGCTTGGGGCCCAAGCTCTTTAGGAATTTGAAAGTAAACACCAGAACACTGTACTGGGCTTGGAAGCGAAGAAGCAGCCAGTAAAGTTCTACTGAAGCTATAAAATGCAGCCTAAACATGGTTGTTGTGGGTTTTTTGGGCTCTTTGGCCATGTTCTGAAGGTTGTTCTTCCTAACGTTTTGCCAGTCTCTGTGGCCGGCATCTTCAGAGGACAGCCTAAACAGTTCCCAACACAATTTTGGCCGGTACACCCAGAACCAACAAAAATGTAAGGATTATTCTCAAAAGCAGCCCATCTATAACACAGCATTGTAAGGTTAAATGGGAAATTCCTGAGAGTACAGATGATAACGGCCAGACTACTTCTGTCTGGAAGAGGATACAGTTGTTGTACAAGCCAAAGGTGACAAAAGGAGTGCCAAGCAATGAACGTCACTGGAACCTCTAAAGACAGAAGTCTGACTCCATGGGAAACTGAATAAATGCCATCTTCCTGAACCACAGAAATATCTACCCAAGACCTTCCATCTTGCCAGGATTTGACAAAGAAAAATCAAAACATACCCAACAATGCCTGCTGCTAACACTTCAGAGTACCAGAACAGAAGCAATAGGAAAACAATGGGGAACCTTCTCTTTATGCACAAATTTTTCCAGGCAATCCTCAAATTTAGGATTGACTCAAAACTGAAAGCATAGCAAGGGTGGGCAAAGCATGCTCCATGGGATGTACCCCCGCCCAGGGACTGATTGGTCATTTCCTCTATCTTAAAAAAGACTATTATGGGCATTAGAAAGGCCCTTGGGGCTTGAAACAGTCTGTTTTCTACTTGGAGGGGATCATATTAGTGAAAGCAGATGGGCTCTGGACATAAGGGGAGCACCGTCACAAAAACAAAAAAAGAAAAACAACAAACAAACAAAAGATTGGCAGGCCAGCTAGAGGGAGTACCAGGGAGGAAATGCTGAAGGTCACCTTTGCCATGAGGTGCTTTGTGGGCTTCTGATCACCCGGGACTTACTTGTTGTTCTTTGGGTGGTACCCACAGAATGAAATGTTCTTCAGCTGGAAGAAGTGGCTACATTTGTTTGCCTGCAAAATTGAAAGAAGCAGCTATTAGGCATTTGCAATGGCTAATTCTTGAATAAAAGGGCAGGTATCATGCTTTCTATCCCTTACCTCTGTAAGATTCAGGTCACAGATTCCATAATTCTGAAGCTTGTTAAGGTTTTTTTTTTTTTTACTAACTATTTTGGCAATTCCTGCATTCGTTTAAATGGAACAAAAGAAATATTTTATTGGGCAAAACAAACTGAAAACTGTGATTTTGGCTTCTTTGTGTCTGGTGTATTCTAATACATGTCCCTAAGATAAGTGCCTGTCTGTTGGTGCTGGCATATACCCATCCTTCCATTTATCCCACTCCTGGGCCCAATGCCCTTGACTGACCCTGGCATTGCCCTTCTGGACAGAATGAACTTTCTGAACAGCTTTGCTCCATGTGAGCTACTTATGCAAAAAGGCTAATCAAAAGAGCTTTACTGCACAGATCTGCAAAACACAGCTTAAAATAGTAGCAGAAGGGTTTAGCAATGCATCCTAGATTACTGAAGCAGCTTAGCAAACAGACTTTCCGCTGCATTCATGTACCTACAGATGCAACAGACATGTACTTTTGAGTCTGGACTCCATCACACGAGCATAGTATCACTCTGCTATCCCATCACACAGACTCTTGCAAACAATGACAAGCAGTGCCAGAATCCAGCAAATCACCATTTCATTTCCATATTCTCTTTTATTTGCCAGAGGGTAAGCCTGCCCTGCAGTTTCTTAGAAGAGGCAACAAAGCGCACGCAGAGCATGGATGGGTACAGTGCTAACATCCCAGAGACATGGGAACAGTGCTAACATCAAAGTCACATAGGTATGCAGGTAGAATGTACCTTGCTGGGATCTTTAGAGTCATCATTTTTCACAGCAATCTTGACTCCTCTCATGCTGATCTCCAGGACACAGCTGGAGGGTGGGTTAAAGTGCACAGTGAGGCGGCGCGTAGTGGCTATCTGCAGAAACAGAAAATGCACTGACTACCACAAAAGCCACGTAAACACAGGGGGCAACTGTGTTTGTGTGATGCAGAGAAACCAACCAACCAAGTATTTGGAGGAACATTAAAGACTAAGCAGGTTTATTTAACATACTCTTTTGCTGTTCACTTTGTAAAATGCATGGAATGTGGCCTTGGTTGGCAGATATTTAAGGAACTTCTGGTAGCTGAAGGAGATGTGGTGAATAAAGATGCAAAAAACACCAGCAAGTGATGATCTTCATACTGATTGTTTGCCAGCTAGTGGAAGTGACAAGGATATCCTACTGTAGCTAAGCAGATCAACCCATGTACAGTGCTGATGACAAGTCTTTGTCCAATCCAAGTATAAGAGATAAGAGTTCAACCTGCTGGCCCTCAGCAGGCTCAGAGGGAATATACATGCAAAAATTACAGGCAGAGAAGGTTGCCAAAACAGTGGTCATAAAACAAAGAAAATCTGGATGGTTAAACAGACAAACCTGCATAGATGACATACTCAGCATAATGGAGTGACATAAGAAGACTTTATCCCTATTCAAGCTATAAAAAACCTGGAGCTTCTGATGGCCTTGCTGTTTTCCTGGGAAATACTCCACATGGGCACGAATTAAGTTGTGCCTCTCCTTATGAAGGTGTCTGCGCAGCCCCACAAGTGCTGAGTGCTCCCTCCCCCCACCTCCTGGACAGCTGCCCCACTCACAAGCCTCCGTGAGCCTCCCAGGCTGTCCTTCATTTCAGGCTGCCCAGCCCTTGAATGACACTGGGCTCCCCTTCCCCACTTCTTCTGGCAGCCAGCCACTCAGAGAAGGAGGCAGGATGGCAGGTACTCTCTACACAGCTGTTGAGTGGTCAGCTACTGGAGGGGGTGAGGAAGGGAAGCCCAGGCTCCTTCCCAGAATGGACAGCTGGCAATGGAGGATGGCCCAGGTGGTGCATGGGGGCTTGAGTGGGCCAGCCATCTGGGAGGTGGTGGTGGTGGGGAAATGAGCACACAGCACTTGCAGTGTGGTGCAGACACCTTCACATGAAGAGGCACGACTTAATTCATGCCCATTTCATCCATTCCCAATTTGTTGTTGAACTGATCCACATCCTCATCCCTCCCTGCTTCCCTTCAAAGTTTGGAAGTCCCAATACATGTTAGCTTTGAACAATGTGAGGCACTAAAACTGGAGCTGAAGGGAGGCGGAATTAGCGAGGGAAAGACAAGGCATGAAAGGCAGGCACAATGTCTCAACATTGTTCATGCTAAATTCTTCATTTACTGTTGTGATCACAACTTCACAACTTGCCTTATGCATGTAACTATCAGCAAGTTGGAGGCTGTCTTACCCCTTCCTTCAAGCTTCAGGCAGTCTGTCTGTCTTAAAAAAAATTAAAAAGGGACGTTAAATAAATTCATACGTGTATAAATTACATTTATAGATGTATGAATTTCATTCATCATCTTATAAAAAGTTATAAATATTGTAACAATGGCTGTAGAACTGCTCTATCAACTAGGAGGCATGTGTTGCACCACCGGCATTTGCCAGCAGAAAGCTTCCCCAGTGATTTCTATGAAAAACAGAAGAGATGTTTTCTCAGAGTTTAATCCTGTTAGGTGGTAATTGGGAAAGTTTCAAATTGTACTAATTGTTCAATTTTTACACAAACACATTTTGATTGTTTGGGTAGTGACTGAACAAGCCCTTATTAGGTATGGCTAGGTGGAGGTGCTTTTTTTCTCACACATGTAACATGCTCGTCATGACTCTCTCAGCTCTCGATTCATCTATGGCCATTGTGAAAGGCACTGAATTGGAAATGTGTGTCACCAGCACATCAGTGTTATTGCAAGGCTTCAGAAACTGTTGCAAAGGTTCTATTGTTCTTTTGCTACAGCTCTTTTGTGAAGTTCCTCAAAGCATTTTGTTTTCCATGTGGCTTAATATCTACATAAAATCTCAAGAGGATTTTAGAGGGAGGTTGTCCGGAGATTTGAAATGGGTTGCTAGTACTATTCTGCTCTATTTCCCCCTCCGGTTAAACCAAGGGAGGCAATTTAATTCCTGAAAGATAGGGACTGTTTATGGATTACACAAAGGTAGATAAACTGATGGAGATTACAAGACAGAGCTCCCTTAGTTTAAGGGCAGCCTTAATGCAGCATGGACAGGTGCTACTATTTAACTTCACCATACCTTTACAAATTGGACCTAACATATTTTTGGGAATATTATCTGCACCCACATGTGCCTCTCTCCTCTTTAATATATATAGCACAGATAATCTTCTGTTGAGTTGGTGGACACTGTCAAATGCAGCTACTTGGTAGAGGCATCCCGCAGGAACCAACTGCCTAGAGATACCTGCTTCAAGAGCCACTATTGTTATTGTAGTTATAATAAGAACATAAGAAGAGCCCTACTGGATCAGGCCAAGAGCTCATCTAGTACAGCTTCCTGTATCTCACAGTGGCCCCACCAGATGCCTCTGGGAGCACAAGAGACAACTAGATACTTGGCACTTTAGTCATTTTTGTTTCTAGGGTGTTCCAGTTTGATTTGATCAAAAATCCATTTATTTGTCTTTCTGGTAGTCCATGGTATTTGCAAAGCTCTCCTCCAACACCACATTTCAAATGAAAATTTCCCTCATCAATTTTCTTAACTATCAAGCTTTCATGTTCATACACAGTACAGTGGTGCCTCGCTTAACGATTTTAATTGGTTCCAAAAAATTCATCGCTATGGGAAAACATCGCTAAGCGAAACACGGTTTCCCATAGAAATGCATTGAAAACCAAATAATCCAGTCCAATGGGAACGGATTGCCGTCCTTAAGAGAAAATTGTCATAGGAAACATCGCTAAGCGAAACGCGGTTCCCCAATTGTAATGCATTGAATCCTATTCAATGCATCTCAATGGGGAAAAAAAACTACAACAAATTTAAAAAGAGTTGGAACAAAGTCAAATTAGTTTAACAAAGGGTTTATTAAGTGCACTTATGATTTCAAGCATTCTAAACTTTTTAAAGCATTTTTAAACATATAAAAAACAGCCAACATGAGGCTGTCAAAACCATCGTTAGGCGAAACAGGGGGACCCAAACTGTCATCGCTATGTGAAGCATGGTCCCAAACATCGCTATGCGAAAATCGCCCATAGGGAACATCGTTAAACGGAGCGCAAGATCGCTCCGAAAAAGCCATAGCTAAGCGCTCATTAAGCGAGGCACCACTGTAATTGAGAATACACACAGTGTACCAAAAGGAAATTTTTGGAATAAGAGGTCACATGTCTCTCAACATGTCATGTTAAGCGAGGCACCACTGTAATTGGGAATACACACAGTGCACCAAAAGGAAATTTTCGGAATAAGAGGTCGCATGTCTCTCAACATGTCACGTTGGAAAATGAAGCTTTAGTACAGGATAGGTGGGCTGGTGAGTAAGGAGGAAGTATACCTTCTGCATAGCTGCACACAGCACGTCATTGCCTTTGTGATATGGAACCTGGACCGAGCCAAGGAATTTCACACGGAATTGGTCCACCCAATCATTGGTCTTGCTTGAATCTGAAGAAAATAAAGTTCAAGGTATATCATATATAAATATACAGCACTATCTGAAATTAAAACACACACACATATCCCTTGTTCTGGTGTAGTAGTACAGCAGTGGGAGAGACACTGCACATATCTATAATCCTTGGTATAACTATAAATTTGCACACAACAGAAACAGGTATAATAAAAGACACAACATATACAGTCATGGCCAAAAATATCGGCACTCTTGCAATTCTGTCAGAAAATGCAACCCTTCTCTCAGAAAATTGTTGCAGTTGCAAATGTTTTGGTACTCATATGTTCATTTCTTTGGTTTGTGTTGGAACAACACAAAAAACAGAGAAGAAAAGTCAAATCCGATACAATCCCACACAGAAACCCAAAAATGTACAGGCCAAAATCCACTGGCTTAACCACAAAACATTTGTAACAATTATTATGTATAATCAGTACAGAACAAAGACAGAATAAATCCAGAACTCTTTAAAACTAGTGTATAAGTCCCATTCTTCCCCTAGTTAGGCCAAATACCTGTGATGTGATCTGGATCCTTGGTGACTTCAATCGCATAGTAAGCAGGGAAGATGCCTCTATCACCTGTTCTCATATTATAGGCCTCGTACCAATAATCTTCTGCCTGAACCTCCACCAATAAAGGGTCATCTACCTCCAGTTCCAGTTCATCTTCATGACGAGGCACGAATCTGAGGAGGAAAATCATGAGCAATTTGCTAATGAAAGTCCAGACTGTTAAAGCCTACTCTAAGATTCAAGGAAAAGACCTGCAGAATTTTTTGTGTACAAGATCTGAGGGCAATCTTCTAAATGTTCATAGACCAGAACTAAACCTCTAAAGGAAAAGACCAATTAGCTAGTGCCTGTGTTATTTCTCCAGGCCTGATTTCACTAAAAACAACAACAACCCAAAAATGAACAAACAAAAAAACCTGCTTGCATGAACAGCACTATAAACATGCAGCTCGTGAAAGATTTCAGGAATCGTCTCAAGTGTAGATATTGCAATAATGGCAGGTCTTCCCTGCCAATGTTGTATCTCCGATCTGTCACAAATGTTCCCCTGATATTACACCATTTTTGTGGTTAAATAGCACCTGTGACATTGGACAGCCAGAACAACTCTCAGCCACACCTTTAGGTCAGAGAAGTGTGACTTTTTTCTTAAGTGGCAAACTCCTGTGAGAGTGTAATAGCTGTGTCTGCAACAAGGAATGTATTTCATCCCAAGAATACAGAATTCAGATAAGAAAAATGTCGGTATGCACTATCTACCCAGAATATAGTGAAACACCTGGTTAGAGCTAGCGGCAAGGTTTGAATAGATCTACGGGTGGTGGTGATGGGTAAATCATTTGACATATCTAAAAGTATAACTATTAGAAGAAATGTGTTTTGATTAATTATCACAGCTACAAGGGTCAAGAGTGTATCTAGAGATATGTATCTTTATCAGAATGTATCTTTATCAGTCAGGAATGACTTCTTAACAAGACAACCAGTTGATATGCATTTTATAATCACTGTATATTTCTTGAGCTAACCTAATTCCAAAGTCTAACAGCACAGACTGGTATATGTGCATGTGATTATGATAGCTCTTATGATAAATGCCCAGAGTGGCCTTGGTTGCCAGACGGATGGTATATCCATCCATCCATCCATCCATCCATCCATCCATCCATCCATCCATCCATCCATCCATCCATCCATCCATCCATCCATCAGACAGAGAGAGACAGACAGACAGACAGATAAATTCATCCTGTATATCAGGGGCAGGCAACTGTGGCCTTCCAGATACTGCAGGGCTGCAACTCCTAACAGCCCTCATCAATACACTCAATACTGATCAATGACAGGAGCTGCAGTATCACAGTATTTTGAGTGCCACAAATCCATTATAGAGACAGTATGCCTCTATAAGTTAGTTGCTGGGGAACATGAAGTAGAAAATGCAGTTATGTAGCCCTGGACATGGGCTTCCTGCAGGCAACTAGAACAGAATGCTCAACTAGAAAGGCTTTTGATCTGATCCAACATGGCTCTTCTCATGCTCCATAAATCCAGTAAATAGGAAGCCATTATTTGTGTGTATAAGCTCAAGAAAAATAACCCTGACTCTAAGAATCCTCATAGACAACATTTTAGAATAGGGCTAATTTATCTGAAAACTAGAATTTTAAAGAAATGTCTTCCAGCAGAGCAAAACCCATCTTCAAATGTTTTTTGCTACCTGCATCCCAACCTAAGCTTCAGAGGAGACCTTCTTCCTTAGACTACCGCCTTGCAGATCAGATGGCTGATAAAATGTGCAGCAAGTGAGTTGGGTTGGAAGACAGTGTTGGTTTTGCGGATATGTGGAAGGCTTCTACCATCTTGAGCAAAGAGTTTACATTGGTGTTCAGCTCACCTGAAGACAGCTCGGTGAGTCTGCTCCTGCTCCTCCCCATTGATAATACAAGAAAAGAGCCCAAACGATTCAGCACCTAAAAAATGAAGGAGGACAATGCAAGCACTGTCAAATAACACTCTGCTTCAACAACAAAATATTGTATTTCCAACGTGCAACACACCAAACCTTCAGCCCAGCCATTATATGGAGGCATCCACTACAGAAAGTCAGTCTAAAAAACCACAGTCAGAATCCTGTTTAATGGAATAGCTTATGCAGTGGTTTGTTGTCCACACATATCAACATGTTTTGAATCAACACAAAGTGGTATCTAGTGCCTCCTTGACAAGAGGCCATCCTGTTCATTCCAACAGAGTGATCTCTGCTTGAGCAACAGATGCAGAAGTTCATAATTGGACCATTATTCTCTGCTGAAGTGCAACAGGATTCTGGGACCTTGAGAGATATCTGTGTGATATCACTGGATTACTTGAGCTGCACATGTTTTACAGAAGAAATTAAGGGCTAGCATTTCACAAGGTAACAAAACCTGTTTGGCCAAAGGTGACAGAGGGACTAAAGGTACATGTGTACCTAAAAGGTAACAATGTTTTCAGCTCTCTTAAAAACTCTTGCCTGTCTCCTCAGCTCCACCAGTTTTCTTGGTGTCAAAGACACTGAGAAACTGTCATTGGAAACAAAACTATTTAAAACTCTCAGAACATGATTATGTGTAAAATCCCCACACAACCACCCACTTCAGTGGGCCTTTCGAATATCCCACTTTTGGGCTTTGCCAGCTTTAACTCTCCATAACTTAGAGGTACAATGGTGCCCCACTTGACGATTACCCCGCTCCATGATGAAATCGCTTCACGATGAGTTTTTTGTGATCGCAATTGTGATAGCAAAACAATGATTCAAAGGGGAAAATCCGTTTTACGATGATCGGTTCCCTGCTTCGGGAACCGATTCTTCGCATTACAAGGATTAAAAACAGCTGATAGTCGGGTTTCAAAATGGTCACCCGCTGTTTTCCGGACCTATTTCCGGAAGACAGCGACTTAAAATGGCTTCCCCTATGGAGGATCTTCGCTGGACGATAAGGTATTTTGCCCACTGAAACGCACTGAACCGGTTTTCAATGCATTTCAATGGGTTTTTTTCTTTTGCTTGACAATGATATTGCTTAATAGCGATTTTAACGGAACAGGAGATTGTCGTTGTCAAGCAGGGCACCACTGTATTTTAACAAATCTTGTGTCTGCAGGAGAGCAGTTTACAGAGGTCCTTATGAACTATCAGTAGGCAGTAAGATTGACTGCAGTTCTCATTAAGTAGTTAGCCATAGTCACTGGCCACAAATTATCATGGTTACTAAGACATTATTCCACATTCTTTTTTCAGCTAAGACAGTGGTTCCTAACCAGATGTTCTCAGACTGCAATTCTCAGAACTCCTGGCCAGCACAGCTGGTGGTGAAGTCATCTCGCAATTGTAGTCCAAGAACACCTGGGTTACCCAAGGTTGGGAACTGCTGATAAGGCCCTTGGCCAGATTGGCAGTACAGTATATAGATTAAACAAACACATACATCAACTTTGTTATGAGGCTGTCTGAGCAAACTGGCACAAGGTTTTTTTGAGGCCAGATTTGGTCTTAAAAGATAACATTTCTCTCAGAACTGCTTCATTATTGCTTAACAGTTGTGTCAATATTCTACCGTGCACCATGACTTAATGCCTGAACAAGGGGAGAACAACATCGCTCTGTAGGGGAGTTTCAGATCTCCTTCCCCATGATCTCTATTCCAGTGCTCACTGGCACTGTCCCTTGCCTGCGCAGCACTCACTGGAGGATCGTGATCGGCCACTCATGAAGACATTGAGGAACTTCTTGGAGAAATGGATGTCTGCCTCAGGAGTAGAATCCTCAGAAAGGCAGACAGAGTCACGTTTGAGGGCATCTTCCTCATATTCTTCCCCGATGGCTGATTCATAGGGTGAAGACACACAGTTGTCATAGACAGTGGCTGAATCACTCTCGTCACTGTAACCTGAATAACATTGTTTCAGGCTAACCAGTTCCAGCTGCACATCCTCATCTACCACCAGAGTATATTTCACTGAATCATAGGAGAGTGCACTGGTGTCAGAGCTCACTGATGCCCTCTGAATGTTGTTGCAAGGCTGGTAGCTACCATTACTGCTGTTGTATACAGTCCTTGACAAATTCATTTTGTCAGGTGAGGACAAATAGTCCAGCACCTCATCCTCCTCACTAATTGATGTGTTGGGTTTTCCTGTCAGCTGTGGGTAGCTGGAAGTGTCTATGTCAGAACTGATAGACATCCGGTTGTCACTGGACTGTGACATGAATGGTTTCTCAGACTCCAGAGGGTCAGAATTCTTCTGAACTGGTGTCAAATAAATCTCCTCGGTAGCCTCTAGCCTCACATCTGTCTGGTAACGAATGCGATCCCGGTAAGCTTCTGGTCCTCTCGTTACTACCACAACAGTTGGATTCTGCGGCAGGGGACGGTTGGTAGCCTGCTGCTTCTCAGGCACACGGGAGGAGACCACACAGGCTGGTGCAATCTGCGTGGCAGCTGTACGTCGGCACGGGCTCTCTGTAGATGTGCCTCGATCTTTGGTGGAGGTTGTGCTGTTTTGGTGAGCGACCTCATCACTCAGGCAAACGTGGTCATGGGGAGGTGTCTGCTCACCTACAGGTGGTTTAGGGAGGGAAGAGAAGGACATGTGTGATGAGAGAAGGACAATAGTATCTTGGTACATGTCACATAGTTAATTCAAAGTAGTGGTAAGTTGTTTAACATTCAGTCATTCAAGGGGGTAAATCTAAAAGGCTGAGGAGAACCGTCTGTTTGTGAGGGATGTGGGACATCACATTATTCATTTGAATAGTCATAGTCAATAATGAATGCAGTTAGTATTCCAGCTCATAACTATTGCCACTCACATTCCAAGATTATTATAAAACATTTTCACTGGACTGGTCAGTCTTTGGAACACGAGAGCCAGGTTTAAAGCCAACAGTAAGAGGATTAATTTCATGGCAAAGGAACTAATTTCCAAAGAGTGAAAGTATCTTACATTACCCCACATTTTTACTGATTTAATTTATATTTATGGAGTGTCACACCATTACTCCCAGCAGCTCAAGATGGCATACCGTAGGTTTCTCCAACATAATAATCCTGCAAGGTTGTTCATGGCTATCCTATGACTTCTATGTCTGATAAGGGGTGTGGACATTAGTAGAACACTCTACTTGGCACACCACGTGAGTTCTCATGCCACAGATTGTCCTGAACTCAGGTAAGAGGAACTATTATTTTAATTGGCCTTGAAAGGGAGGGGAGGGGAGGAAAGACAAGAAAAGACAAGGCAAGGCAAGGAAAGGAAAGGCAAGGCAAGGAAAGGAAAGGCAGCTCTCTAGTGGATCACATCCCACCAGTCAGTTAATAAAGCTATAGCATCAATTTCAAGATGCAAACCAAAGTTTTTTTAGACACTAAAATCATGCAGGAAGGAGTTCCAAGCACAAGAGAATACAAAGGGGGAAAAGTGTGCATATGTGCTGTGTGAGTGAATTGACAGGCAGAGAGATGAACTCACCAGTTTTCAGAGGGGATGATGACCGGGACACTCGCTCCTGCCAACTGTGCTTTTTCCCCAGAGAGTTGTTATTCAAAGTGTCCTGAGGAAAAGAACAAAGCGGCCTTGTAGCTGCAAGGGTAAACGGCGCATGGCACAAAGGGGCCCCAGCACTCCCCTCCACCACCACTCCAGCCTATGGCCCTGCCACCTCTCTTTCCCACCCACATCTGCCAGCTATTGTCTGTGTGCACTGGGAAAAACGGCTATTCAGAGGGATCCAATAGCTAAGTCCATCTGTTGCTTCTGCTGTTGCAGCCACAGAGACTACAGTAGCCAAAGCCTCAACAGAAGCAGTTGAGAGAAAAGAAGCAGGGATGGAGTGAGCCATGGAAAAAAAGAAACTGCTCCAGACCACAGTGGGAATGAAGCCAAGGATAATCTTTCTGGAGCCCATTCATTCAGACTTTTCTGATGCTGGGAGAGAGAGATTCTTGCTGATGGTTAGTGCACACACGGCTGCCTCCTACTCAGTCTTCACTGGCCCTGGTAGCAAGAGTTTCAGGCATTCTAGCAGGTCACTTTCACTAAGGACTTAACTTTATGTGAAAGCAAAACACTCAGCATTTCCCTCTGCCAAGAATGGCTAATTTGCTGGAACAGGAGCAAAGAAACAATGAATATGGCTACATTTCATGACTAGGAACGGAGCACAAAATACAGTCCATTTCAATTTTAATGTGAGTGCAGCTAATCCACACTGCTCAAATAAACTGCCAACTGAAATACAATTATATGTCAATATTTCCACTCTTATGAATAATGCAATGTCATTCTCCTATTTTTAAAAATTATATATTAAGGGAAAGCATGCACCTTAATCTGAATGTGTTTAAAACATTATATTGTGGGAAATTGCTGGCAAAAATATATACAGTGTATTAGACAACACTGTGTACAAAAATTCATACATTTGGAGTAATAATATCCAGTATCTCTAATAAGGTTTATATATTTAGGCATAAAGCTATGGTGCTGCATTTCACAGTTCTTCTCTATGGCCTCCTCACCCAGTTTTGGAAGTTCTTATGCACTGTGGTCCTGTTTCATCATAGGCATCCTTCAGTCTCGAGAGACCATGGTAACATGCTCTGAATTGAGGAGTGTCCTCTCCAGAGCATGAAGCCTGGGTAAAGTGATATGGAGGATAGGCTGTTATCCAAGCAGCAGATCCTCCCTCTCCACATTGCTGAAATGGTCCAATGGAAAGGCAAGAGCCAATACAACTGGTTCCAGCAACGACGCAGGAGTTGGCAGAACGAAGTGAACTGCCTTCGGGACTCCAGCTCCGGATTTTGCCTCTAGGTTAACTCCTGAAGCCTTTTCCATGAGTGGATATAGCCACAAGGCAGTGGAGGTTTGAAATCGGAGTTTTCCTTCTCCTAGATGGGTTGTGTTCCATGGCTGAGGAGCCCCACCTACCCGGCCTGCTCTTTAATAGTGTGGAAGTATGATCCAACCCTTAGAACTTTCCTGCCTCCCAGGTGTATGCAAATCAAAATTTTAAGTTACAAGTGAGGCAGACATGAAATACTACTTATTTCTGCTTTAAATGAGTGTGTCCCAGGACCCTGGGCCTTTTTCTCTAGGAAGCTGGGCTGGGGCTGTTTACTGTATCAGTTATAAACAAGGCCTCTTTTATTCACCATATTCCTTTCTAGCTCCTTCTGTGAATTAAGTACCTCTCCAGCTAAAATGCTCTCCCCTTCAATCTGTAAGTAAGCCCCATAAATTCAGTAGGTCTTACTTCTGAGTAGATGTGTGTAGGATTGTGCTGTCAGTGAGCTATTAGCCCAAGATGCTTTTTTTCTGTTCTCACTGAAGCCTCATTGTTGGTACTGCTAGACCACAGATAGGAACAATGGGGCCATTTAAGGTGTTGCTGGACTGCAGTTCCCGGCATTCCTCGACCCTGGCCATACTGGCTAGAGCTGATGGGAATCGCAGGGCCACTTTTGCACACCCCCATTTGAGATGCTTTGCCCACCCTGCTGCCACTACATACTCTGCCTATTTGACAGACCATATCCTATTGCCATGAGGAGTCCTTGCTTTCTACAGTTACAAGCCCATCCTCTTCCTCCATCTCAGTAGCACATCTCTACATTGGACAAACTGTTTTCCTCCTACAATGTTTCCCTAAATAGAGTGGCAGGGTCACCGAGTTCTGAGACCAACATAATGAAGGCACAATTTTGTTATACTTCAAGCAAGGAAAAATATGTTTATGGCAAACATTTGGTGCTTGTGGTGAATATAAGGCTGTGCATGTTGCTAAAACACGGGCAGAGTCTCTGTGCCCCCCTTTTCTTTGGGGATGCTGCTCTCTCTGCAAAGGATGAGGTTCACAGCTTGGGTGTCCTACTAGATCCAACGCTGTCTATGATTATTACTCAGATAGCGTCTGTGGTCCAGTCTGCCTATTTCCATCTCAGGAGGACTGCCCAGCTCCATCTCCACCTTAACACCAGGTCCTTCACCACATTGATCCATGCACTGGTAATCTCAAGATTAGACTACTGCAGCATTCTACGTGGGGATCCCCTTGAGGCTCTAAACACCAGGTCCTTCACCACATTGATCCATTCAAGGACATTGGTCCTTCACCACATTGATCCAGATTAGACTACTGCAACATTCTACGTGGGGATCCCCTTGAGGTTCTAATGGAAACTTCAACAAGTCCAGAATGTGGTGGCCAGATTACTGAGTGGAGTGAATAAATATAATCATATCCCCCCCAATTCTGGCCACCTTCCACTGGTTACCTGCCAGCTTCAAGGTGATGGTTCTAACCTATAAAGGCCTAAAAGGTTTGGGGCCTCAGTGCCTGGCAAAATTGCTACTTCCGACAGGATCTGCCCATCCTACAAGAACATGTCAATCAGGCCACTAAGGATGCTAACACTGAGAAAGGCCTGGAGGGAGAAGACAAGAAACCAGGCCTTTTTGATGGTTACTCCTTGGCTGTGGAATTAATTCCACCCTGCAATTCATTTGACCCCTTTGCTGGCATTTTTTTGTAAATCACTAAAAACCTGTTTAGTTAGACAGGCATTCCACAATGTTATTCCTGTCGACTCAGCTGAGCTTATTTAGCCTACTTGATCCAGCTCACAATTTTAAATGTTCTCAATGTTTTATGTAAATGTATTTTTATATTTTGATGGTATTGTTTATTTGCACTTTATTATTTCTCTTTTCTCTTTTGTTAAATGGTATTTTAAATGTGTTATATATGTTGCAAATTACCCAAAGTAGCCTTCAGACAAATCGGTGGTATAAAAATTAAGTAAAATAAATAAATAGATAAATAAATAAATCAATCCATGTCCACATTTGACTCTATATAGTTCTCAGGGATAGGCTTCCAGTCACCTTGAACAGCCGTGGCATCAGGATAATTTTTATCAAAGGATATAAACAGGAAGGGACATCAAAAGAGGAAACAAATTTCTTCTTCCCCTCTCCAGCCTAAAATTAATCAGTTCAGGGAATTACATGATCAACTGTATGTCTCAGGATCAACACACAGGATGTCTCCATGCAGTATGTAATAATCTCACGATGGTAACAAACACATTCTGTATAATTAGAAAATATGAGAGGGAAAGGGTCAGAAGGAGCTGTCCTTGCTGCCATTTCCTGCATTGAGATCAGAGGAGCATTTGTTCCACAGTTTGGTCCACTGCAGGAATGGGTTGTTTCGTTGCTTTTTCTGGTTATCAGATGATGGGATTGCTGGAGTGAACCAATCTGTCCCCAGAATATCCCTAGTCACAGGTTTCTGGCTACCTATCAAGGTTGTCATTGTTGTCATTGTCTTCTTCTTCTTCTTCTTCTTCTTCTTCTTCTTCTTCTTCTTCTTCTTCTTCTTATCATCATCATCATCATCATCATCATCATCATCATCATCTGGTGAGATTATTCTGTTTTGGTTCATTTCCAGTGTGTGCAATCAAAATTAAAGCTTCCATCTTTATCTTTCCAGCTGTTTCCCATGTCCCTATATCATTAGTGGACTATACAAGCATCTCAACCACTTAATGATATGAGGAAATTGGGAAATTAAAAAATTCTTTGTTCTGCTGCTCCATCGAGCAGAGAGAGGAAGCAAAAAAAGAAGTTTTTTTTTACCACTTAAAATCTTCCTCCCAGAAGCAGGAGGAGACAGGAGGGGGCAAGGACAGAGACTCCCCCCATCTTTTAAAGGAACCAGTCAAATAGAGTCGCTTGAGGTGCATATGCCATATAGATGCAAGGATCATGCCAAATGGCATATCAGACTGCTCTCTGACCGTAAGCAACGCTATTTAGCCCATTCCAGCTCACTCCAGTTGAACCTGTCTAGACAAGCTCTGACTCTGTGGTTCAGGAGGCAGGTAGCCTGATTGAACACAAAGATAACATGGTCCCAGTCTTTGGTAATCATTACTGGTTTCAATGGAGAATCTGCTCCAAAGTTCCAGTAGAATGCCACATGTATGCAGTATCTTAACAGGTCATGCCTAAGTGTTTCAGGCTAAAGAAACAGCAGGTCCCCAGGTGTACCTGGACTGCAACTCCCAGAAACCCTGGCTAGCACAGGTGGTGGTGAAGCCTTCTGGGAATTGCAGTCCAAAAACATCTGGGTTAAACTAGATTGGGAACTACTGGTCTAGGAATTAAAAAATCCAAATTCAAGTCACCACAGAATCATGAAACTCATTAGGTGACCTTAAGACATCTATTTTCTCTCAGCCTGGCCTACTTTACAGGGTTATTGTGAGGATAAAGTGGAAGGAGAAGAGTCACATAGCACTCTGAGCTCATTGGAGGACAAGTGGGATATAAATGTAGCTAATAAGCTACATTTGTCTGCCTCCCTCTGTCCTAAAAGGGCGTGGTGTACCATGCATCTTTCCTGCTGCAATCTAGTCCCTCTGCACTGTAATGAAGTAATAGTTTGATGCAGAGTTAAAAGGTCCTTACTGCACCAGAACATTTTGACACTGTGCCCATTGAGCACATTTCCTAAAAATCAGCTCACTGTCTCTGGCAGGA